CATTGGGTATTATAGAATCCCAAAACTATCTTAAAATATTTATATTGTAAAGGAGTATTTTTGTATTAGGGAGCATTTTAAATTATTTATTTTCCCCCTTAACTGGGGACATAAAGAATCTTAATGATCACCTAGGCCCTTTATGAAATGTGCGTTGGTACCCTGCATTTTTTGGGTTTTCTATTATGTATCTTGAAATTTTAAGAAATTTCTGAGTAGCGAGTATCTCCAAAAGATATTTTTATTGATATACCTTATTTATTATGCATTTTCAAAACTGAACAGTAATCAACTACCCTCAAATATTTATATTTAAAAAAAAAATGCCGCACATGACAAATTTAAAATCATTCCTAAGTAGCGCTGGGTACTTTCAAGTCGGGGCCCTCAACTAAAGATCTATTTCGTGGTTTATTTTGCTTGTGAATGTGTGAGTCCTTAGGTTTCGCACCGGAATCTGGCAACTTGTCTCCGGAGATGGGTATCCAAAGCGGTGGAAGGCGATGGCACTTGGAAGTGGAAAAGCAGGCTGCAGAGAAACCGATGCAGATGACGATGGTGTTGCTCTGTGGCACTGGAGTTGCTATACGCTATATGCGTTTTGTGTTCAAAAATAAACGGAAGCCATAATAATGAGATTTATCTTCGGATTCTTAAACTGCCCAACCTGCAACGACTGGGTGTTTCCTCCACCTATATCTATCTACCTTAGTACCCCATACAAAATGGCATTTTGGGAAGAGCAAACAACACACATCGTCAAAAACGAACCATTTTTGCCCAGAAGGGGATGCGAAAAAAGAGATTGCGGTTTGTGTGAATGGAGTTGGGTTAGCGAGCATCTGCCTATTATAATTTTGTGCGCATAAAACTCAAATATTTCTGTTTCGCCACCAGAACATTTTGTTGTGTTCATTCTTCCGCCAACAGTAAAAAAAAAATGGGAAAAACCAATATACAAAATTTAACATATGTGCGATGTGAACGATTTTTTTAAGAGCCAAATAAATCAGAGGGTCAAATGGACTTGAAGGAATTTAATATAGCCCTTAGCAGGGTGCCCATGATATAAAGTTATAAAAGAAAAAGTATATTTTTTGGTTCTCTCCACTGCTCTTGATATTCAGTATATAAAATCTATTTTCCAAATCTAGCTCTAATTGCTCTCGACATCTATTTGGCCTAGTATTCCTTTCACGTTTTCGTGTACAGCTAATTATGCTTTGTCTCCACTGTGTCAATAAAATGTTAATGAAATTTACTCACTGAAAGTATTAACTTTTTTCAGGGGGTTTTAGCGGGGGGTTCTTTAGTTGAAGGTTCTAATGGTCAATGGCCAATACGAGGGCATTTCTAATTTCCTGACTCCCCCCCCCTCCTTCTCTTTGGCAAACATTACATTTGATTGTTATTTTTCTCAACGCCAAGTGCCCAAACAGAAATGAAATCCAAAGCAGGCCTACAAGAACGAAAATTCAAAACTGGAAAAAAGAAAAACAGTAGCAGTAGCAGAAAAAAAAACAAAAGGCAGAGCGTTTGCCGAGCAAAACAAAAGAAATGACTCCCGTTGTTTGGACTGCATACAAATTTCGCATTAGCCCAGGCAACAATTTCTCCGGGGGTAATGGAGTTCCGCTTTCATCTGGCTCCTTTTTGTAATGGTCCACATATATACTTATATATATACGATTTATTGGGTGGAATGGGTGGAATGGGTGGAAGTGGGCGTTGAAGGAGGCTGGCAGACGTTCATTTACACATCCATTCGGCCCTCATTCATACTTCAATTTGGTTTGGACTCTTGTATAAAATTTCATTAATTTCCAATCGCCCGGCGCGGTTTGCATTATTATGAACCGGGGTGGGATGGGGGAACCACCTCTTCGATATGGTTCTCTTTCTATTTTTTTCTGTATGTATACAATTTACCACAATATAGTGGAATGTACAGCCATCCACCCCCAACGGCCACTCACCCTAAACGAGATATCTTGACGACGCATTTTGGTTTGTTCTCCACACATCCAGTACTGTGCAGTATTCTAAATACCATATAGGGCGAAGGCGATGGCGATGTCGAGTATTTCCAACCCCATAAAGTGCATACAATTCAATCGTACGATTTCGTTTCTATATGCATGGAAAATTTGTTCCTTCTGTTCTCAGTTCCCATGCTTTTGTATTAGAAATGTTTATTACTGATATGACCTTATAGTATGTTCTATATTTGAGATCAAAAAATTAAATTGGCTTTAAGAAAAAAAATTTTATTTTCCGATTACAATATAAGACGAAAGCGTGTGTTTCCAACCCTATAAAGATAATAGAATTTAATCGAACGATTTCGTTTCAACATGAGTTTCCCATGCTTTTATATTTTAGTAGAAAAGTTTATGACTGATATTGATATTAAATTATGGAACATGTTCATAGTTGATATCAAAAATTAAAATTATTTTATGTTTTACAGGTCTTGGAAAAGTTATATCAGTAGATATAATAATTATGTTTCACAGGCCTGAGAATGACTGGATCCATCCAACAAGTATCTTTATTTTTCATACATTTCGAATACTTTCCAAGTCAATTACATATAATGCATGAATGTGTGTGGGACTGAATGAATAAGGGGCTTTAATCCTTGTCATCTGTCCCCGCTGTTAATTATTTTTTCAGCCAATGCTTTTGGCCTTTTTAAGAAAGACATATGTACATGTACATTGTACATGCATACAGCTGCGGCAACAAAAATAGCACCAGTGTGTAGGCAATTCTTCTTTGTGCTACAGAATGGTAATTTTTTGCAATATTTTTATTCTGTTTGTAAGGGTAAGTAGGGTTACATATCTATTAACTAAAATAAAAGTGGTTACGCCCACAATGCGGATGGTTTTTAAAATTTCGATACATTTATCAAAAAAGTAGCAAAGTTATGCGGCAACAAAAATAGCACCACTTAAATAAAAAACTTAAAAATAACGCGATTTGAAAATTTTTTTTGATTGAAATGTATGATTTCATACACCTTAAGGTAAAAAAATATTGTTCTAAAGCCTGGGCTGCAACAACAACAACAACAACGACCGACCTTGACGTCACTAGACACCAGAATCTTCCCTTGGCAAAATTGTTGTCTGGCTCTTTCAAAATAGCTCGAGGGCAGTTTTTTTTCTTCTGTTTTGCATTAAAAACATAGTTTTTAACATTTCTGCAAAGATTTTCGATGTGTTTTAGTTCTGGGGCTTGTAAGGTCCCCATTATACCATTTAGGTTAAGGGTTTTAAAACTTTGTACGACTTTCTGACTGATTTTTTTTGGGTTATAACCGTGGTAAAGCTTCGGAAATAAATTAGTTTTGTATTACGAATAAAATTGCATCACAATTTCTGAGCTATCAAGGTGAACATGTTGATCCTGTATGGGTTTACATTATGATATGGTACCAACATTATAGTACGAGAATATGCCCATACCATTATACTTGCTTCACCATTATTATTCTTTGCAAATGTGAAATGGGGACTCAATTTTGGATATGTAGGTTACCTGATGTGAATTTAAAGTCTTTTTCATCTAAACATGAGCAATTTTCAGCCGCCAGACCATATAAGAGTGTTCCTTTTATTGTGGGCCTTATTTAAGACTCGCCCTTCAAATTCACCCATGCTCTGCAGTCTAGGGAGATTTTTTTTTTGGACGTCAAGCGCATAATTGATTTTTATGTACATTATATCCAACTTTTTATGTACTTACAAATATTAAAAAAAAAAGCGACTTGATAGGCGCCTAAAACGGGACCTACTTGCATTCATGCAAATGACTTTTTAACAGTTATGGGGTCATTGCGGCTTTCGTACTGCGTGCTATTCTTTTGTGTTCTTGTTTTAGGTAACTACTAATCATTATTTTAAAGAATTCAACGATTCAACTTAACTTATCTTTTGCATTGCCTTTATAAATTAGCTTTTTAAATGTCCTTCTATCTGTATCATTACAGCGCGCTAAATGACCCATTGGGAACACTATTTTATGCATTATTTTACCAATTCACTTAGTAGTACTTATTCTTAATACAACAAAACGAAAAACAGCCAACAAATCTGAGCAAATGAAGTTTTATACCCAAAAACCGTTAATAGTGCTATTTTTGTTGCCGCATAATTATGCTACTTTTTTCATAAATCTATCGAAGTTTTAAAAACCATTCGCATTACGCCCACAACCATTTTTACTTTAGTTAAACGATATGTAAACCTACTTACCCTTACACACAGAAGAAAAATATTGCAAAAAATGACCATTTTGTACACAAATAAAAATTGCCCACACTTTGGTGCTATTTTTGTTGCCGCAACTGTACATATTTTATTTTTTCTTCTGTGTTAAATTTCGTCGGCTCTTATACTACCATTTTAGCACACCTAACACCCTTTCCGCAGTCATTTCCTATTTTTTTTTAAGTTCTTTCAGGGATGCCACCCAAGGGGGGATGCCATTAAAAAATCGTGGGGTTTGGAAACGTTTTGGCTTCTAAGAAGCTAAAGTCTCACGACTTGATCCGTAACCTCCATCTACCTTCTAGCAAAATGTTTTTCGAAGGCAGAGAGCTTGTTGCTTTTCCCTCAAAAGTCTGTTCCTGCCTTTCGACCTTGTTTTAAACAACATTTTCGTAGCCACTTGCCTAGCTCTCCGACCGTTCAATAATGCCTCTTTGGCAGGCATATCACGTAATTCTAATTTAAAAATTACAAGCCTTGCTTGGCAGCCGGTATCACGCGTTTTGATAAGGCCCTGTCACATATGCATTTATGTCTTTTTCCCTTACATATACCTAAACTTCTTGGATTAGCGCCGTTTATTACCTGAAACACATGGGAAGTTGGCGGTTAGTGTTTACCCAAGGAACTATATCTTTCAGTAAACAGGAAGAAATATATAAAGTCAATCATTTAAAATCAAATTAATTAGGTTATATAATAAAAAATATATAAATGACTTACCTGAGTGTTTAAACAGCTCAGCATTTCAACACTTGATAGTTCTTTAATTAATTCCAGTCATTAAGGAAAAATGTATGCGTAGATATCAAGGATATCAAGCCTGAAAATAAAAAAAAATGTTTAAATTTCTTGTCTACGGTAAAAAGTTATTTAGTTTCGAATATACTGGGAACTATTTTAAAATTATATTTAAATACAAATGGCCTTGAAATTCCTATTACCATTCGTAGGTCTTTCCTAAACATATTACCTACTATGCACCCAGGTTTCATGGTAAAAAGGCTCTTTTTAGCGCGCTTTCGAACTCCAAAAGGCGTATTTCACGCGGTGCACTTTCAAGAGAGCACTCTAAGTCGTTGGGTGCACTTCTTTCGGTAATGTACCGGATGCTAAGCCCCAATTAGAGCACAAGGTAATTTTGTGAATTTTCGCCTAGTACTTGCGAATTTAATTAGTTTCGAGTAACTAACGATATTTGAAAAGGTAGGTGTTGCTCTCTGGCTAACAAACCAAACATTGCGTTTAAACGAAAATCAAATAATTAAGGCCGAAAAGGGGGAAACATTTCATTCATCATTTTATTGCGGTTAATGACTATCATATTGTTTATTAATCCCGCAAATAAAACAACCACAAACTCCTTAGATAATTAAATAACATATTTAGATCAAGAGAATTCAAAGAGAATCCCTTCAGATTGCGGTTAGGTTCGGAAACTAGACGTCATTTAATAAGGACATTAATTGAATACATTATTTATACAATTTTTTGTTGTTCACGACCCCTAGACGAATTTATGTAGATTATTTCAGAAAAGTGACTTGTAATTGACAGAACGAGAGTTTTGCCGTGTCACTGGCAGCGTATGTTTATGGGGAATAATCGTATATTTGCAGGTCTCTATTATACCTCCACCTATTAAACACCGCTTCCGTAGACTTTAACTTTGTTGAGTGGAGCGAAAAATAAAAAAAATCTGCGATGATGAGATTTGGCTGAGATGGGCAGAGATGAGCGCTGACGAACAGGGGCAAAAAATTTAATTTCACTTAAATCTTTCTTTCAATTAAAAGTTTTAATTGATTTTCCGTATATTCATGCACACATGCACATATTGTGGGTGCGTGTCCGACAGTTCGTGTGTGTGTGTGAGTTCGCGCTTACCTGCCGTCGGTAATTAATAATAAATATGTGAATCGAGCGTGAGAAAAGTAAGTTTTAAGGAACTTTTTTTAATAATGCTTGAGTGTTTCATTTTTGATTTAAGCAATCATATTCGATCAGTTTCTTAATAATAACTCCTTTGCAGAGCAAATGATAACTTTGGGCCAAGAGATTCTTAACTTTAAAATGTTAAAAAACTGATTTACATTGGAACACTTCGAAAAATTTAAATTCAGCAAATATAATTATTTCATTATTCAGTATTGTTTAATTGGAAATATTCATATTTACAAATTTCGTGTGTAAAATACAGTTTTCTTAACAATAAAAGAAAAGTGGGTAATTCAATAATGAATATACTTTAAAACCACTGAACATTTTATCTAATAATGTTCAAAAAATATTTTTAAAAATACACAGAAATATTACGATTCATCTTATATTATTGATTTCAGTATTGTTGAATTGAAGATATTTGTACCCAAATAATGTCGTGTATAACAGAGAACATTTTTGATAAGTTTTGAATTTATACAAATTGTAATGGATCGACTTTCTTCCTACAATTTTCCAAGTGTTGCATGTGAACAAAGAAATTTGTGTGAGAACACACTAAGAAAAAAAACTTTGTTTTGTTCATTTCTGCTGCCAAATAATATTTTAAACATTATTTTGCTATTGCTTCCATCTCACTGAAAGTTTAAAACGAGGAAATTTAGCCGTATTTCTAAAGGGTGAAAAAAGTATCTATAATCTATCTATTTCTTGCACTTCGTTCAAACTTGTGTCATCGAACTTCAAATCGAGCCGCAAGCCCTAGCTCGAACTCCAACCGTCCAACCGGGTTTGACCTGATCATGAGATGTGACCAAAGAGAGGGACCCAGAGAGAGTACCGAGTGTAGAGCGAATGGAGGGCACAAAAGGAGTAAACAATGATGGAGAACGCCAGCACAAAGGAGAGCGAAGAACAGAGAAGTACAAACATTGAGAAAAGTGAAAAAACCAAGAAAAGTAAGTGGCGTAGGCGCAAAAGAATAATACTCGCAAAACGGGTAAACAGACTTATACACGAACTTCGAAAGCCCAAAATAAAGCCGAAATAATGCAAAATCCACATAAATATGTTCAAAAACAAGCTAATACGTTTAAATGTAAAAATATGTACATATATAAGGTAGGTAAACAATAGCGATTGGAAAACCACATTTCCGCAGTTTAGAATCGATCACTTATTGAATAAAAAGCTTTCATAAAACAGTCATTTTTCCATACTTTCTTATCTCTTCATTTTATTTTTACACTGACTTATCTCCCCTTAGTAAGCTTTAACTGCAGTTTTTCCCTCCAACGTTTATTTATCATCACAACCCATATATCATTTTTACAACTGATAAAAAAGTTTTGTTAAAGAATACAAAGAATATACTTATAAATCTTATTGCAAAGAGTTTGCATAAAAAATAAATAGCGATACAAAGACTATTCTTATAAATCGTATTGCAAAATTTTTGCTTAAATAATGAATAGCGATACAAAGAATACTCTTACAGATACATAAATCGTAACATAATTGCAAACTTCTTGGAAACACATGTATGTATGAATAACCTCTGCAAGTTTTAAAGCGTGAACGATACTTTCTCGTAACGCAGAATTATAACTATGATAATATATATAATTTATGATAACATATCACATAACAAGTAATAAATTATTCAATTATCAAATTTCCAAATTGGACGCAGGCTACTTTAAATTTTTTCAGCAATTTATTGTGTTCGAATCTCATTTATTTAATTTAGGCCTGAAGGGTTTAAGATTTATATTGAATATCATGTAATGCAGGAAAATATACCAAATTTTAACCATAGTCATTCCCAAATAGAAAGTTTCTTTAAAATATTTAAAATTGTATCTTTACAATTCATTAAAAAATATTTTATTAAAAATATATTTATAATATTTTATTCATTTAGATTTTTTTAATTTATTTTAATAAGTTTAGCATCAATCTAAAGAATTTTGAGGAAGATAAATCTTTTTTAACCTTTTCCATTTGTTCAATTCGATTTTCCAACAACTTGGAGTCTCAGAAGAATTTAAATTTGAAAGTTTAATTTTTAATGGAAAGTATAGCTCACAGTTTTTCTGAAACATACTTTTTTTTGGCAGATATAATGCGTCAACACTTAATCCACGATGTGCACGTTTTGCGCATTATTTCGATGTGAAGTGGATTCATGTTCCTACTGGTCCTCAAATGCGTTTTCAGAAACTTGTCAATCGGTTGTTATATTTGCCATTTGAGAGATGCTATCTCAAATCATATTCTTCAGATGTCCCCCTTTTTTGACGGCCGTTTCGCTTGGCCGGAAAAGTTTTTTAAAGTATTTTTTTTTGACTATTACTATCGCGTGATTTCGATCAGGAAGACGACAGAAGAAATAAAAAAAAAAAAGGTGGTCAAGCTGTACTCTCAACTCGTTGCCTTAATGCCAAAAGCAAACAGTAACACAGTAACCACAGGCAATCCTTCATCATCTTCTGCAACATCTCACAGTCTCAGTTCAAACTTGAGATTTCTCAGCTTCTTTCTTTTCTTTGTGTTCGTTTGGTGGACACAAGTTTATTTGAAACTCCACTGTACTCCATCCACATCCACATCCACATCCAGATGCAGAGAGCTCTGCCTTTCCGCTTGGGCCATAATTGTTGTCAAAACGAGTTTTCGATGAAGTGGTCGGGTTGCTCTGGTTGTTGTTGTTGCTGCTGTTGTTGTTGTTGTAGCTGCCGACGAAGTGACCGTTGCCGTTTCTGTTGTTTTTGCTGTAATCGCTGCCTACGTTAGACTTAACTACAGCTAACCCAAACTCCAAAATATAACTTAAGGCGAACTCGAGCAAGAAACAAGAAACAACGTACACACAAAAAAACTATTGGGTCAAATTTACCAATATAATAGTTAACCCATCGAATTCTCACCTTAACCAACGAAATAGTTACTCGCCCAACAACAAAATTCACATAACTAACTATCTTATGGCAGTTTTACTATTAAATACCAAAGCAACAACAAAATGTACATCACTATTTTTAATATATTTTTTACATTTACCCACTATTGAAAACCCAAATACATTAAACTCTTTTAAAAAAATGTTGGCTTTTAAAATTTTGTATCGGTTTTTAATGATTGGTTCCCGATCTTCTTTATTTTAACGAAACCAAACATGGTTAATAAAATATATCACTGGGTTTTTCGGGTATGCATTACAAACCAGTAGGTACCAAACAAGCATTTGCAGGTTTGCCAATAAAACCACCTCAAGCAGCCTAAGTTATACAAGAGGTAAGTGGGTACATACAAAAAATGGATCCCAAAATATCAAGCCTTTTTATTTTGGTTCAAACTTTACCTAAAAATAGGGTCACAAATACTTTCAGCCCTTGAAATATAAAGATTAATTTAATTTTTTTTTAATTTCAAGCTTTGCTATCATTGCCAACCTAACTAGGTACAAAAGGTGGCTAGTTGATGCCAAAAATTGGTCCAAAAATATTACAGTTTGGTTAAAACTTTACCAAAAACAAGGTTACAAATAATTTCAGCACTCAAAATATGAATAACATTCATATTAACATATTCAAATTTTATCTATCGTCTATAGTCTGTTATAATTACTTTGAGAATAGTATGACCTCTTTTATCATTGCTCCGTGAAACACTGCAGTGTTTTGCAAAAAGCACTTGGAGTTGTTATAATCCCCCTGGTGCCAGAACAATGACTATGCTAAAAATCTAAATTGTTTAGATATTCTGTGCACCATTTAAAGCTCACGTGCGAAATGGAATTGTTTCGTTCACATATGTGTACAAATGCGACGGAGGTGCTGATGCATCGTCTACCCCCAACTTTGGGTGACTTTCGTCCAATTCTCATTCAATGACCTCAAAGGTACGACTTGTTTGATATTTTCCGTTCGCGGACGAGTGTACCTTGGGTTGTCAACAAATTTTCGATAACGTTTGTGTCAAGTGAGTGGGCCGGTGGATCAAAAAACACGGGAAACGGTTACAAACGGGCAATGTTTGAGTAATGCCCGACTTCGGGTCATCGTCTTGATGAAACTTAATAATCAAACATGCTTTACTTTAAAGACTAGAAGTATGTTTAAAAGCCCTTAGGATTTTTAGCTTCTTCGTGCGAGTTTTACTCAAGCCACTTGGAACAAGCGAAAAGTTTGACTCGTCAGAAAATACAAAGGTAATTGAAAACGATAATCCTCATTGGAGTCCCCTCTGGCCAATTTCAATTATGATGTTACGATAATCCCTATTTAAGTCATCTTTGTGTAATGTGTTACTTCATTCTGCCATCTTATTTAAGATAAAAATGCTATGTTTTGAATAATTTAAAATACATTTACAATTTATACATTATACATTTATTATTTATATCGAAAGTCTTTCGACCAGCTTATTTGAGATAAGCATGACCTGCTATCCTATATTTTACATAGATAGATTTACATACTTTCTTTAACTTGTTGGGCTAGTTCTTATAAAATATCTGAGATACAGTTCCCCGCCTCTATCTGAATCGAAAATGTATAAAAATATATATAATTTTTTCCAAAAAAGTTCGTAGTGTTTTATGCTACATATTGGTAAATGCCTGTTTTAGGAGGATGCCTCTTAACAGATCAAAATAATTATGAAAGAAATTGATTTTTTCATACGAAAACTTTCTATTTTAAAATGAAATGGAAATTCTATTTCTGTCAGCTTCAAAATAGAAATTAATTGAATGAAGAATTCCATTCCTGTCATATGCGATTAGAAAATGTAGTAAATACAAAATTATATGATCGAAATTCCGAAGTGTAAAATAGTATTTAAAAACCAAGACCATGGGTATATAGCTGTTTCCACGGTCTTTGTCTTATTGTTTAAATTATTAATAAAAAAAATTGTATGGGTAAAACTGATTAATACGGATAGTTACCCAACTGTAAAAAAAGATTAAAAACTATTCAAGATAGTGATGTGTATTTTGTAGTGGCTTTGGTTAATATTTAATAGTAAAACAAGAAAACACGATGTACAATCTCATAACTTTTAATGACTGGTCTATTAACAAAATATTAAAAAATTGGAACGCTAGATGGGTATTAGTGTTACAGTCGTTTGTGGACGTTAGATTGGGCGTGCGCAGGAAGCCCAATGCCAAGTCTAGACGAGTCTAGAGTAAATGGGTATTACTCCACGAGTAACGAGTATAAGTAACTCCCATAAAATAGTCTGTTGTGCGTATTTTGTTGTTGGGAGAGTAACTATTTCGTTGGTCGATTTGACAATCCGATGGTAGCATTACCATTTAACTATTATATTGGTAATTTACCCCAAAGTTTTTTTGTGTGCACGGTCTTTTTCTTATTGGTAGTCTTGATTCTTTGGGTCTAACTTTCCAGGCCGCAATATGGTTATCTGCTGCTTTTCCTGCTAATCGTTTTCTTTTTAGTTTTCCTTGGCTCTTTTGCCTTTCTTCCATTGCCTGCAGTTCTTATTCGCATTCGCCCCAAAGGATATGGATAAGTTCATGAAAACAAAAAAGTGCCGCGCCAAAAACAACGCACACATGTATGTATGCCCCACGCACACGCACATACCAATACATGGGCAATCGCACCCGCAGACACAGGCACACATTGACGGTTCCGCAGGCGACTAACTGTACTGCACGGCCAACCAAAAAAAGAAGAAAAACTAAAAAACAAGGGCTTTCTACTCTCAGTTAAGTTTTCTCTCCTAATTTCTGTTGTTCGTGCTTTGTCCTCTTCTTTTGTTTGTTTGTTTCTTTTTCGTTCTTTCTTAATTTTTGGCAACGTCAATTACACGCCAAACTTCTTGCCTGAGTGCTTAACCCCTAGCAGGTAGCCACAGTTTGGCCATGGGTTAACCCTCCAGTAGGCACATCTTAAATTTTTGTCAATCCCTAGTCTTTTTAGAAAAATGCTTATTATTTAAGTAACCTATAGGAAGTGGCAATGAAAAGCAATGACGATCAATTTGATCTTATGCTCTACTAAAAATTAACTTATATCAATTTGGTAATAGTTAATTCCGAATTCGTTTTTTCTAACATACTCATTTGATTTTAATTAATACCGAATGCGTCTTCCAAACAATACATTTTGAACAAGATTAATAATTTGATCTTGGTTCATATCGATGTATTAATATGTTCAATGTTTAACAAAATAAATCTTTAATATTACACAGTATGACTGTTAAGTATTAAGTGATCTTAAAGTAATATCCGAGTGGTTTTTTCGAAGGTATTTATCTTTTGGAACATTCAATTGATCTTTTCAGACATTACCTTTTGAACACGATGATAAAATTAATATTAATTTATGTATTATTAAAACAGAATGGTTTCTCCGAACGTATTCATCCAATGGATATTATTTTAAGATCACTTAAAATAAAATAGTGATATATTGAAATATTAAACAAGTAGTTTGTATGCGCATCCAGATTTAAAAAAAGGGATTATGGATCTTCGATCTTTCGAACATTCGATTGATCTTTTCGAACATTACTTATTGAGCAAGACGATCAAATTGATCTTAATTTGAATCTATACATTAAAACCGAGTGTTTTTTCGAAGATATATATCCATTGGATATTGTTCTTAGGATCACTTATATAATAATCATATTTTGTATTATCAATGTATTATTTTGTATGCAAATCCAGAATAAAAAAAATATATTACTGATCTTATTTTAACATCTGTGTAAGACTGGGTTAAAGGGAAGTTTGAACTGATCGGTGGGGAGTTTTACAGGCTTTTTGGGGTTAATGGCTTTGGCCTGAAGACCGCACTTCACACATGCATGCATACATAGGTAATAAAAATATATATTTTTTGCTGCGTTGCCTTGTTTTTTTTTCTTTCTTTTCTTCTCCTTTCTTTTCTTTCTCTCGGAAACGCAAATGATGCAGTCCGTTTGATTCATTTGACATTACAATTGCTGCAGCTGCACTTTATTGTTGTTGGCGATGCTGCATTTTGCTTCAGTTTCAGTTTTCATGTTTTTCCAAGTTGTTGTTGTTTTTGCAGGTAAGTCGAAGATGAGTGTCGAACCGGTTCAACTGGTACAAACACACACACACACACACACTCAGGCAGTACTTGCACTCACTCACTCCCCCTATCTCCCTCTCCCTTGCACACAAGCACTCCACTCACTTAGTGCACTATCTCCCTCGCTCTCGCTCTTCTCTTTCTATACCTCTCGCTTTTGTTGATCTCTCCGCTCTGCGTTCTCCGCTATTTCCAAATATAATCGCCTTTTGGCGAGGGGGTGAAGTAAAGGTGGTTATGGGGGGCGGGGGGATAGTATTCACGCTCACTTGCAAGTAACCGAAAAAAAAGAATATGAGTAATGCACTCGAACCGCAACACCCGCGTGTTGTTTTTTCTCCTCCTAATAACACTCGACGCACGCGGCGGCACACTCGGCTCGCGACTTTTCGTGTTTCGTTACCCGCCACTGGCCATCAATTGGCGGCAAAAGCAAATGCGAGGAAAAGCCAGAGGCCAGAGGCAACTTTCCGCACTCGAACGCGACTACGACTCTTATTGTGCGTGTGTGTGTGCTGTGGGGGCGGTGCGCTCGACGCTCGACTTTCGCCTGTTCGACTGGCAACACTGGCAACCTTCGCGACCGGCGTTTGGAATCACACTGCTAGACCCGCAAAACAAAAGGTGCGCCTGGACGCATTTCGAACGCGGCGCCAGCGGCGATACTATCGAATCGCTATCGCATGTTGCAGCCACCACCAGCGAACGTGGAACTCGCCCCCACTCCGTAGCCCACTTTGCATGGCTCTCCCTTTAACAGAGATGTAAAGTTGCAACGTTTTGTAACAGTGCACTATGGATTAAAATGTGCACTATAGCATAAAGCATTCCGTACATTCCTTCATTTTGTACGGGAGTAACGACTTTATTTCGAACAACTAGATTGTATTTATGAAAACCAGTATTTTTAAAGACATTTTGAAGGATTTACTACACCTCTAAGGCTACAACTTATTATAGAACGGATGGTGGATGTAACTACCGATAGCTTGGTTGGGACCTTTTTATCAACTTAAGTTGGCTTAGCTCTGCTATTATAAATAGGTTTTATAAATAGAGCCAGTGTACTTTTTGTGCCATTAATTTGAAGTCAATACCTTTAAAATTACAATTTTTGCCCAAGCCGCAGTAACAGAGGAATGTTAGAACACGTATTGGGTTAACATTTCTGTTAAATAAATGCTGAACCCGAACAAGTGCGACGTGCGACTTGCGACGCAGATCTGTATGAGAGCACACCGAACCCCATCGAGCCAAACTAAGCCGAGTCGAGTGCAACGTGCTCGATGTCCCTGCAAGCAATCAGACGAGATAACTATCGCCTAAGCCAGAAACACATTCTACAAGACCAAAAAAAAAAACTATTTTCCAAATCACTCTAGATGTTGAAAAAAAAGATAAAAATTAGTTTGCAAGTCTTGTATTGGTTTTCGTTAGCCGTCTTTTTTTCTTGGCGTAAAGTTAGCCAATAATTTTTCGTTTTTTTTTTCGACCTATAAACCTTTTTTACGTATTCATAAATCAAAACTAAAAATATAAATCTTCGATTTTAAAAGATAGTCTCTACCTCTTTTTTTTACTATATTTTCTACTATATATTCATATATTAAAACTGATAAGTAAAATAAAAACAAAATATATTTAAATATGTAAAAAAAATTTGTATTAAACAATTTCCAGTTGGAAAAAACTATTCTACATATCTTTTATTATTGTTGGTAAACGCAAATTTGCCTGACTTCCAGCGAACAATTGTTTTCAACTTCTTAGTCACTAAATATTAACAAGTAGGAAATGCTTGCTGGGATTGCATTTTAATGGGTTTCAGAATGGGAACGCAAATCTTCACTTCTAGACTCCATAAGTTGAGTTATTGGATCCCGATTTTAAACAGGGATACCTCTTTAAATTTGGGGTTCAATTTTCTAATAATATTCTCTCAAATCTATTTTTTAAAGGATGGTCAAAGTTTTAACTTATTTTCATATTCGATTTTTCTGTAATTCTACTGGTTTCCAAAATGGAAACCCAAAACTGCAGTTCTTAATTCCATAACTTGAGTTATTGGATACCGATTAAGACGTGGGATACCTCTAAGAAATTGGTGTTGAATTCTCTAATAATCTACATTCAAATCTATCTTTTAAAGGAGAGTCAAAATTTTAACCCATTTTCATGTTTGATTTTTCCGTAATTGCAATGGCTTTTAGAATGGGAACCCCAAAAATGCACTTCTAGATTCCATAAGTTGAGTAATTGGATTCCGATTAAGACGTGGGATACCTCTATGAATTTGGGGTTTAATTCTCTAATAATCTACATTCAAATCTATCTTTTAAAAGAGGGTCGAAATTTTAACCCATTTTCATGTTTGATTTTTCCGTAATTGCAATGGCTTTCAAAATGGTAACCCCAAAAATGCACTTCTAGATTCCATAACTTGAGTAATTGGATTCCGATTAAGACGTGGGATACCTCTATAAATTTGGGGTGGAATTCTCTAATAATCTACATTCAAATCTATATTTTAAAGGAGGGTCAAAATTTTAACCCATTTTCATGTTTGATTTTTCCGTAATGCCACGGCTTTCAAAATGGGAACCCCAAAAATGCACTTCTAGATTCCATAACTTGAGTAATTGGATTCCGATTAAGACGTGGGATACCTCTATAAATTTGGGGTGGAATTCTCTAATAATCTACATTCAAATCTATATTTTAAAGGAGGGTCAAAATTTTAACCCATTTTCATGTTTGATTTTTCCGTAATTGCAATGGCTTTCAAAATGGTGACCCCAAAAATGCACTTCTAGATTCCATAAGTTGAGTAATTGGATTCCGATTAAGACGTGGGATACCTCTATGAATTTGGGGTTTAATTCTCTAATAATCTACATTCAAATCTATCCTTTGAAAGAGAGTCAAAATTTTAACCCATTTTCATGTTTGATTTTTCCGTAGTTCCAATGGCTTTCAAAATGGGAACCCCAAAAATGCACTTCTAGATTCCATAACTTGAGTAATTGGATTCCGATTAAGACGTGGGATACCTCTATAAATTTGGGATTAAATTTTCTAATAACCTACATTCAAATCTATCTCTTAAAGAAGGGTCAAAATTTTAACCCACTTTCATGTTTGATTTTTCCTTCACTCCCAAGGCTTTCAGACTGGGAACCTAAAACTGCACTTTTGGATTCCATAACGTTAGTTATTGGATCTCGATTAAGACGTCTTTAATATTATACATTAAAAATATTCTTTTAATCGAGGGTCACTAAGGACTTACCAGATTGGGGTAGTCAAGTGGCAGGGGCGAGGAGCTGCTGGTTCCAGTGACAGTTCCGGTTCCCATCCCCATCCCCATAGCTGGGTCCTCAGGGGATAGAGACGTCCATTCGAGAGCGCCTTGATTGAGGTCTGGCAGGCGGAAATGGCGAAGTTGTCGATTGTGGCATAGAGTAAGAGTATATAGAGACACCATTTGCTCTGCCGCTCTCTTTTGAGACTTTTCCAATGATGCCACTCAAGCGAAAAACTATAATTCGTGATGATTAGGCTCAGCGAGATATGGTTCACCAGCAGGGCGGACATCAGCACGATCAACTGGGCGGTTTCGTAGAGTGTGCAAAGGCTGGTGATGAGGAACGAAAGGAGTAGCAAGTAGAGGGCCTTGCCGCACAGGTAGATAGTCTTCCACACGTACGTGTCCTCCTACGGACGCATTGCCTCCATGATCACGTGCATCTTCCACAGTTAAAGGATGCAGCGGATGACTAGGGGAAAGGTAAAAATGAGGTATATATAAAGTGGACGTTTCAAATCACTTCTAAAGCTGTCCAAAAGTAAGCTGTAAACCACGAAAGACAATATATGGTTGCCTACTTTTAGAAAATCCAAATCATGCTGTCAAACAAAATTTGTACGTGTTTCGGTGTGAATTTGCTCCGACTTTAGTAACATTTTTGTAAAGTCTACTCTTAGATTATTTTACTTCATAGAAATTTATAAACTTATTTTAATTTTAAAAAATGTGTATTTGCGCGACATAAAAATTTATAATAAAACACATTTGATCTTGCTTGGATGTTATATTCATAATTTAATATTACGACCTATCATCAATATTTGGTACAGTTTTTAAAATCTGGCTTTATTCTACTGATTCTTCCGCGGCAGTTTCCGGGCTGTACTCGCCATCTAGTTTTCCCGCTGGATATGGGATGGAGGATCACTTGACGGAGACTCACGGAATCACTTGACGAAGAATCACTTGACGAAGAATCACTTGAAAAATAACTTGACGAAGAATCACTTGTAAAATAACTTGACACATTGTCAATTGAAGAATCACTTGAATAATCGCTTGAAGGAGAATCAACTGATGGAGAATCGCTTGATGGAGAATCATTTGAAGAATCCTTTGATGGAGAATCACTTGATGAAGAATCGCTTGATAAAGAATCTCTTGATGAAGAACCTCTTGATAAGGAACCTCTTGATAAGGAACCTCTTGATAAAGAATCTCTTGATAAAGAATCTCTTGATAAAGAATCTCTTAAAGAATCACGTGATGAAAAATAACTTGAAACATTGTCAATTGAAGAATCTCTTGAAGGAGAATCAACTGATGGAGAATCACTTGATGGAGAATCATTTGAAGAATCCTTTGATGAAGAATCGCTTGATAAAGAATCGCTTGATGAAGAACCTCTTGATAAAGAATCTCTTGATAAAGAATCTCTTGATAAAGAATCTCTTGATAAAAAATCTCTTGATAAAGAATCTCTTGATAAAGAATCTCTTGATAAAGAATCTCTTAAAGAATCACGTGATGAAAAATAACTTGACACATTGTCAATTAAAGAATCACTTGAATAATCTCTTGAAGGAGAATCAACTGATGGAGAATCACTTGATGGAGAATCATTTGAAGAATCCTTTGATAAAGAATCGCTTGATAAAGAATCGCTTAATAAAGAATCTCTTGATGAAGAACCTCTTGATAAAGAATCGCTTGATAAAGAATCGCTTAATAAAGAATCTCTTGATGAAGAACCTCTTGATAAAGAATCTCTTGATAAAGAATCTCTTGATAAAGAATCTCTTAAAGAATCACGTGATGAAAAATAGCTTGATGGAGAATCACTTGATAAATTCTTGGACAAGGATGCTCCTGCGGAAGTAGAGCGGTGCGCTCGCTTCCGACTCACAGGCTTCTTGATGAATTCCGATCCCAAACCATCATCATCACCAAATTTCTCGCTGATCCCTCCGCGGGATTTGGGTTTGGATGCAGTTTCAGTTTTGTTTAAAACAGCGGCTTCCTGGGGAGCCTGCATCTTGCGTCCGCGACTGGAGTATCGCGTAGCTCTAGGCTGGAGGACAGATTGGAATGCATAATTATTTTTAAACGGTTAAACGCCGCCTCTCGATTTTCATTAAAATTGTTTAAATACTTGCGTTTATTGCTGTGGCAACTTACTTGTTTCATTTTACACGCGATTTAGGCTTGGTGTTGAGCTATTTAGCTAAACCACAATAGACGCGACGCGCACCCGGATCGAGCAGAAAAACTAAACTGAATCGACAAACAAAAAAGTCTCAAATGTGGAATATTAAATGAATACGAAAATTCGCCTTCTTAATTATTTTTTTTTAGTTACTATTTAGTCAGTTAAGTTATTTTTTAAATTTAAAAAAATAATATAAATTTTTGAATACAAAATAAGGTCTTCTCTGCATGAGCTCTGGAAGTAAACTGACTAACAAGACGAAAATCAAATATTATAATTGAATAACAGAAGCAGAAAAAGCAAGGCTTTCTTGATCCTTTTTTGTTTGGTATTCATTTAATATAGACGATTGTATTGCATTTATTTGATTACCAAAGATCGGAAATATGTAAATGTGGATTCCAGAAGAGCCGATTCAGTTTGGCGGCTTGGTTTTCATCCGCCCTTTGCAGACCATTCCCCAAATGAGAATGGGCTCCTGTCCCTCATTGGTGGGATCGGGGCGCTCGGTCGAGTGCTTCCTCCGCTTCAGGGGCGGTGACGAGGGGGGTGTCGGTGTGTCTTCTCTCTTACGCACGACTCCGGACTTCTTGGAGGCCCCGAAGTGCGGACGGACCTCGTCCTCGGAAAGCGAATCACTATCGTAAGCGTAGTTAGGCAGCTGGCGATGGAACGACGAACTGGTCAGGCCGCGGCTTGTGGAAGGACGCGGCTGGAGCAAATCATCTTCGTCCTCCGAGCTCTCCTGCACGGTGCGCCTTGACGAAGAATCACTTGTAAAATAACTTGACACATTGTCAATTGAAGAATCACTTGAATAATCGCTTGAAGGAGAATCAACTGATGGAGAATCACTTGATGGAGAATCATTTGAAGAATCCTTTGATGGAGAATCACTTGATGGAGAATCACTTGATGAAGAATCGCTTGATAAAGAATCTCTTGATGAAGAACCTCTTGATAAGGAACCTCTTGATAAGGAACCTCTTGATAAAGAATCTCTTGATAAAGAATCTCTTGATAAAGAATCTCTTGATAAAGAATCTCTTAAAGAATCACGTGATGAAAAATAACTTGACACATTGTCAATTGAAGAATCACTTGAATAATCCCTTGAAGGAGAATCAACTGATGGAGAATCACTTGATGGAGAATCATTTGAAGAATCCTTTGATGAAGAATCGCTTGATAAAGAATCGCTTGATAAAGAATCTCTTGATGAAGAACCTCTTGATAAAGAATCTCTTGATAAAGAATCTCTTGATAAATAATCTCTTGATAAAAAATCTCTTGATAAAGAATCTCTTGATAAAGAATCTCTTGATAAAGAATCTCTTAAAGAATCACGTGATGAAAAATAGCTTGATGGAGAATCACTTGATAAATTCTTGGACAAGGATGCTCCTGCGGAAGTAGAGCGGTGCGCTCGCTTCCGACTCACAGGCTTCTTGATGAATTCCGATCCCAAACCATCATCATCACCAAATTTCTCGCTGATCCCTCCGCGGGATTTGGGTTTGGATGCAGTTTCAGTTTTGTTTAAAACAGCGGCTTCCTGGGGAGCCTGCATCTTGCGTCCGCGACTGGAGTATCGCGTAGCTCTAGGCTGGAGGACAGATTGGAATGCATTATTATTTTTAAACGGTTAAACGCCGCCTCTCGATTTTCATTAAAATTGTTTAAATACTTGCGTTTATTGCTGTGGCAACTTACTTGTTTCATTTTACACGCGATTTAGGCTTGGTGTTGAGCTATTTAGCTAAACCACAATAGACGCGACGCGCACCCGGATCGAGCAGAAAAACTAAACTGAATCGACAAACAAAGAAGTCTCAAATGTGGAATATTAAATGAATACGAAAATTCGCCTTAATTATTTTTTTTAGTTACTATTTAGTCAGTTAAGTTATTTTTTAAATTTAAAAAAATAATATAAATTTTTGAATACAAAATAAGGTCTTCTCTGCATGAGCTCTGGAAGTAAACTGACTAACAAGACGAAAATCAAATATTATAATTGAATAACAGAAGCAGAAAAAGCAAGGCCTTCTTGATCCTTTTTTGTTTGGTATTCATTTAATATAGACGATTGTATTGCATTTATTTGATTACCAAAGATCGGAAATATGTAAATGTGGATTCCAGAAGAGCCGATTCAGTTTGGCGGCTTGGTTTTCATCCGCCCTTTGCAGACCATTCCCCAAATGAGAATGGGCTCCTGTCCCTCATTGGTGGGATCGGGGCGCTCGGTCGAGTGCTTCCTCCGCTTCAGGGGCGGTGACGAGGGGGGTGTCGGTGTGTCTTCTCTCTTACGCACGACTCCGGACTTCTTGGAGGCCCCGAAGTGCGGACGGACCTCGTCCTCGGAAAGCGAATCACTATCGTAAGCGTAGTTAGGCAGCTGGCGATGGAACGACGAACTGGTCAGGCCGCGGCTTGTGGAAGGACGCGGCTGGAGCAAATCATCTTCGTCCTCCGAGCTCTCCTGCACGGTGCGCCTTGACGAAGAATCACTTGTAAAATAACTTGACACATTGTCAATTGAAGAATCACTTGAATAATCGCTTGAAGGAGAATCAACTGATGGAGAATCACTTGATGGAGAATCATTTGAAGAATCCTTTGATGGAGAATCACTTGATGGAGAATCACTTGATGAAGAATCGCTTGATAAAGAATCTCTTGATGAAGAACCTCTTGATAAGGAACCTCTTGATAAGGAACCTCTTGATAAAGAATCTCTTGATAAAGAATCTCTTGATAAAGAATCTCTTGATAAAGAATCTCTTAAAGAATCACGTGATGAAAAATAACTTGACACATTGTCAATTGAAGAATCACTTGAATAATCCCTTGAAGGAGAATCAACTGATGGAGAATCACTTGATGGAGAATCATTTGAAGAATCCTTTGATGAAGAATCGCTTGATAAAGAATCGCTTGATAAAGAATCTCTTGATGAAGAACCTCTTGATAAAGAATCTCTTGATAAAGAATCTCTTGATAAATAATCTCTTGATAAAAAATCTCTTGATAAAGAATCTCTTGATAAAGAATCTCTTGATAAAGAATCTCTTAAAGAATCACGTGATGAAAAATAGCTTGATGGAGAATCACTTGATAAATTCTTGGACAAGGATGCTCCTGCGGAAGTAGAGCGGTGCGCTCGCTTCCGACTCACAGGCTTCTTGATGAATTCCGATCCCAAACCATCATCATCACCAAATTTCTCGCTGATCCCTCCGCGGGATTTGGGTTTGGATGCAGTTTCAGTTTTGTTTAAAACAGCGGCTTCCTGGGGAGCCTGCATCTTGCGTCCGCGACTGGAGTATCGCGTAGCTCTAGGCTGGAGGACAGATTGGAATGCATTATTATTTTTAAACGGTTAAACGCCGCCTCTCGATTTTCATTAAAATTGTTTAAATACTTGCGTTTATTGCTGTGGCAACTTACTTGTTTCATTTTACACGCGATTTAGGCTTGGTGTTGAGCTATTTAGCTAAACCACAATAGACGCGACGCGCACCCGGATCGAGCAGAAAAACTAAACTGAATCGACAAACAAAGAAGTCTCAAATGTGGAATATTAAATGAATACGAAAATTCGCCTTAATTATTTTTTTTAGTTACTATTTAGTCAGTTAAGTTATTTTTTAAATTTAAAAAAATAATATAAATTTTTGAATACAAAATAAGGTCTTCTCTGCATGAGCTCTGGAAGTAAACTGACTAACAAGACGAAAATCAAATATTATAATTGAATAACAGAAGCAGAAAAAGCAAGGCCTTCTTGATCCTTTTTTGTTTGGTATTCATTTAATATAGACGATTGTATTGCATTTATTTGATTACCAAAGATCGGAAATATGTAAATGTGGATTCCAGAAGAGCCGATTCAGTTTGGCGGCTTGGTTTTCATCCGCCCTTTGCAGACCATTCCCCAAATGAGAATGGGCTCCTGTCCCTCATTGGTGGGATCGGGGCGCTCGGTCGAGTGCTTCCTCCGCTTCAGGGGCGGTGACGAGGGGGGTGTCGGTGTGTCTTCTCTCTTACGCACGACTCCGGACTTCTTGGAGGCCCCGAAGTGCGGACGGACCTCGTCCTCGGAAAGCGAATCACTATCGTAAGCGTTGTTTGGCAGCTGGCGATTGAACGACGAACTGGTCAGGCCGCGGCTTGTGGAAGGACGCGGCTGGAGCAAATCATCTTCGTCCTCCGAGCTCTCCTGCACGGTGCGCCTTGGCGAAAACTTCGATGTTGGCTTTTTCGGCATATTGGACTGACTGCGACTGCTCTTTCGGAATGAAAAATTATGATACGTCAACTTTCGTCTCAAGTCAACTGTCAACACCGATATATATATCGTTTCCAAAGTTTTACAACACTTACTTTATCAAGTATTGGGAAATACAAAACGAAGTTATTTATATATTTATATGTTAAACTCCAGTAGATCTGTTGTAAATCAATACGTACATATGCAAATGTTAAATTATTGATTTGCTCAATTATTTTGTACTGAATGGCAGAATATAACTTATATTTTGTTAAGAATGTAAATCAAATTCTGTTTTTAATTTGAAAATGCAAGAGATTATATCTTATAGATGCTAGCATGTATTCCATATGTATTTACATCAATCATTTTAGCCCAACTAATATTTAGCTATAAAGCATTAAGCCATTGGCAATAAATAAATATTTTCCAATACTTGATAAAGTAAGTAACTTTTCTTTCCAAACGATATATGTATATCGGCTATGGCAGTTGACAGACGAAAGAAATTTAACAAGTCATAGTTTTTCACTTGTCGACCACAACATCATGAGCAAGAAAGTAGCATCCACTACTCCGGACGGTTCGCCTAAGCGCGCCTTGCAGGAGAACACGGAGGACGAAGTGGATCTCCTCCAGGTGCGTGCTTCCACAAGCTGTGGCCTGACCCATTCGCCGCCCCATCGCAACATGCACGATGGAGATTCGCTATCCGGGGGCGGAACACCCCCCTCCTCGCCGCCCCTGAAGCGGATGAAACACCTATCTTCGACCGAGCTTCTCGATTCCACCAGAGACGTCTCTCGAGGTACTCGACTATAGCGTTCTTACTTGTTTTATTTATTAATATCACAGCACAAAAACAACAACGTCAACAGCAACACACACACATGCACATACAGGACAAAGCGTATTCAATAGGACGTGCAAACCGTTGGTAAAGTGCCAATGGCTTTCAGATTTTATAACTTTTAGATTCCATAACTTGAGTAACTGGATCCCTATTTGCAAGTGGGATACCTCTATGAATTTGTAGTATTTGGTTCTCGAAAATTCTACTTAAAAACTTTTTTAAGCAAGGATCAAAATGTTAATCTGTTTTTATACATTTAATCGACAATCCTGGCATAGTAACACACATTTCTTTACAGAATATTTACAGCATTAAAAAGGTTGTTGGGTAAAAGTCAAGTAAAGAACATTACGAATGTAAATACGTCGGTTAAATAAAAATACTATTTTTTAAGCTCTTGTTTCTATTCTATCGCGTTTGCAACCACAAAAACGTTAACTAACTTTAGAAAGCTAAAGTAAGCTTAAAGTATGTAAGTAGCAGGATGTAAGAACAAAGTTTAAAGCTCCAGCATAAGCTCCCATAAGTTTTCTTAAGTTTATTTTTTGGGACAATTGTTTAAACATTCCATAAATCATTTTAGTTATAAAATTTTCAGATGGTAAAATCAGGACATCATTTGTTTTATGGCATAATCTATACGGTTAGGTATGGTGAAAATTCAGGACAAAATTTATGTTATGGTACGTTATGAATGGAAGTGTTGGTGGGGAAAGCCTCGAAATACATAATTATGGCTTCTTGTGCTAGACATATACATTTGGTTCCTGAGTGCAATGAAGTTCAAAAGCTTTGAGGAGAAAAAACTTTTTGTGGAACCTGTGCTATATTCATTCATTTCCATGTGGATTCCTGTGGGCGTCGAGTAGTGCGTATAACAGCTTTCAGGGGATGATGTTCTTTGAGTTTCACCCGGTTAAAAATTATACACAAAACTAAATTTTGAATAAAGTTAAAGAAAGATAGATCGATTAATTGATTGCTTAAATATCTCATATAGTAAAATATGCAGAAATTATTATATTTGTTACTATTAAGATTCCATTTCCATAAATTTTAGAATTTTCATTTATATAAACATGTAAGTTTCAGAATTAGTATAAATGATTTTCTATTTAGCATTGCATTTTTTTAATCATTTGGCTGTTAAAAAAAACAATTTTTTTATATTAAGTAAGGTTGATTATCAGGGATGCCACAGAAATCGCAGAGTCTTGAATGTGTCTGAGTTTCCTATGTGTATCAGTACCAGTTTCACACAACTATGTCTTTTCTCTTTTCTTAAAGCGTTGACAGAAAATTGACTTTCCACCTGACGAATCATGGATGATGTTAGGTTATTCTGTTCTTGACTGGGAAGAACTAACTATTCCCCTCTAAGCTACCTGATTGATCACTTAACTTTCGTTCAATTACATTTTTTTATTATAATTTCTAGCAACAGATATTTTGCCTGCTCACAAGGGGACAACGTTTCCATTGGCATTCCCACCATTTCCATTGGCAGCGGGATGACAACAAACGAATCTGCTTTGGACACTCTGGACAGAAGACCACGTGGTGTCCTCCAGTGCATCCTTAACATATATCAACAAAAGTCAGTTGTACACACGACCCTATTTGTTTACTTTTCATAACATTCGCATTCCGGCAAGGCGTGCGCGGTACTGTTCTGGCCATTTCGAAATGTATCTCGAGCTAACAGTAGGGGCCGACGGATGCCGAGGGTTACGAGGGACTGCGAGGGGTTACGAGGGGCTACGAGGGACCCCGAAGGACCCCTGTTAGCCGTCGTTTAAGGTCACAGGACCGGCACGATGTAGGGCCACGTGTCGCTTCGGAGTCAGCCATCAGTTGCAGTTGGAAAGTCGAGCACGTTTCGTGTGGAAATGCTGTTGTGCTAGCTGGGTATACTTGGATACTTTCTGCGGTATCGCTATCACAGCCACATTCAGTCGAGTGCGTGGTCGTGAGCGAATCGGTCGAGCAAGTCCCGTCTCCTGGTGTGCCAAAAAGATACAAAACCCAAGAATATCCCTGCTCTGCACACAAACAAAAGCGCAGAAAATGTGCGAAATTAGTATGGAATGTGAAATCTGTGAGAAACCTTTAAGCGCGCCATGAAATCCCCATCAATCATCATCATCGGAGGGCGATCAACTTTTTTTAAAGGTGTATATATATGTAATATTTGTTGTTTTTTTTTCCCGTTCAAGTTTAGTGCCTCCCAAGTTTTTTGGGGTCTGTGTAAAGTTCCTTGAGCAAGCGGTCAGTAATAATATTATAAAAACACTTACCGATACATAGTGCAAAGCCAGCAGCATTGCTATCTCCAATTTATTTTACATAAATTTTGCAAAAAATAATCATTCGTCTTAGTGTTTTTGAAGCGAACTTTTTGGCCAAGCTATTGCAGGTGCCTTGGTCAAGTGCTATAAGAGGAAAAAAAGGGAAATTAGTTGCAATGGAGCTATACAATATTTTTAAATCTGTGCATACATTATGACTGGTGAGTACTGAAGAAAAGTTTCTTATCACTGTCTGTGATAACTGTGATAAAGGATATCTCTGAAATTATCAAAGTTTTACTCAGAAAAACCATTTATGTCTTTATGGAGCATGGAGTGCAACAAATCTATTAAATTTTTTTTAAGGAATAATATTGTTTGTCCTTTTCATAGTTTTATTGTTGAAGGCAATAAACATATATTCCTTCACAATAAATATTATTAAAAAGTGTGCAATTAATACTTTTTCGCGAATAACGCCCACCAAGCAATTGCAATAATTAATTTTTTCGCGCGAAATAATATTTAAGAAAAACTATCTACAATGTTAGTTAGAAGTTAGCAACGAAGTAATGGAGAACTTTTCATATAGCGTGGATATTAAAGGAAAATGTACAAAACAATGCATAATAATAAATAAATGGTAAAATATATATTTCCATTTAGGTCTATATATTTTTGTTATGATTGCGAGGTCATATAAACTTTGGTTTGCCTTTATTTTCTTAAGGTTATGACCCCATAATTTATGGGGGCAACTATAAGTTTCGTTCGGATTTCCAATCAACCGTCACGAAAATCGTCGGAGGTTTCTGGGACACTCTGATAAAGTCGAATCGCTTGCTTCTACCTGTTACTTTTTCTCCACGAGTAGCGGGTATAAAAACACCAAAGCTCAAGTGCATTTCGTGGCTGTTATTCATTTTCAGAGCACAAAAACAACAATTGATACTTTGAAAAACGAAGAGGAAATTTACTTTGCCAACTTTCCCCCTCTTAAAAAAGTAACATAGAATTTGACCAGCATTTAAACATTAGCAAATTTCAATTTTAAATTAATAATAGCTAGATGAAATATATAAAATTATGTAAATTGATTTTTTTAAAATAAAATTCGCGAGTTTTGGGCTGGATATTAATACCATGTATTTTTTCCACTTTAATGTGCAAGTTAAACCCAATTAAAAAGTTTAAGGTAAGTGATAGAATAAGTCCTATTTTAGTATTTTCCATTTGTAGTCATATAGATTTCATACGCAAATGTACTTATGTATGCCGAGTGTTGCTTTGCTTTTGATAATTATAATTATTAACTATAAAAGTATATATGTACAAATGAATAATAGAAATAATATATTTTATAGATTGATCATTTTCATTCTAATTTTTCTTGGCAGGATTCCAGAAATCTTTGGACTTTATCTCATTATATATTTCATTTTACAATACATGAAATGTAAAAAAAATTCCGTGTATCAAATTATTTTTACAAGTGAGCTACAAAGAAGCGAACATGCTTACAATTTCAAGTGAAAAATATTTTTTTGATCAGATTTATGAAACTTTCACTTGGATTTCAATGAGTCAGAGCAAACTCAATCTACTCTTGTTTCATTAAAAATTAAAAATTCCATGAAAATGTAGGTAGATGTGAGCAATTTTATTTCAAATTGATACAACATTCCTCATTTTGAGAGAAGGGGAAGGCTTAGCTCATCAGCAGAAGACAGCGTTTCCGTTTTACCCAGCCAAACGTACATATCCCAAAGGGATTTCATCGAGGGGACAGGGTTATTATTGCGGCACTCACTTGGGACCAGCTGGCCAGACCCAAATTATAATGGACCCTTGCTGGATTTTTACAGCCCGTAAGCCCTGTGAAATTATAAGATGTTATCAAATAAATTTAGCATTTCACAATTTGCTATTCAGTACAAAGTTTTCATTCATTTATATAAGGTCAACTCAGGATTTAAAAAAAAGGATTACATTTATGCAATACTAAGTACATACAGAAACAGCTGTAGTTTGGTTGAAAGAAAATCTGACTACTCCCCGATTTTATACTCTTTTACTTACAAGAAAATAGTCTACCAATTTTTATCGAACTTTAAATGTTTTACTTTAAAATTTAGTAATTTTAAATTGTCGTAGCGTTCTAATTATATAATGTAACATCAACAACTCGGCAATGGTGTAACAACTTAAGGGGAAAATTAGGATTCTATATGTTCAGATTGCATTCTATGGGTTATTGATTCACTCCGCTGCCTTACACAAATAGGAACGTATTATTCTGGCATTGATAAATTATACTTTCTGTTCACCAGCTTAGTTAGCTCATATTAATTAGTTGCCCGATACTCGAATAACTTTTCCCTATACAAGTTTATTGAATAAATTATGTTTACTATTTAGCTTAAATGCAACTTGTTTCAATCGTGTAAGTCGGTCAAAGGAATTTAATCCAATTTGCAAGAAACGTTTCACCCGATCCAGAAAATTTTTGCACTGCCTTAAACTAGTGATAAAGAGTTATCTGTATTTTACTATCACTTCAAAAAATGAGTGGAGTTCAGAGTGGAACATCTTTAAAAAAAAACGCAATAAATTGGCAACCAATTTGCATTAAAAGTAAGTCAATGCTGTTCATGTAAAGATAATATCTTATTACCACAACATTTTAGAATGCTCCTTGAAATTTAGGATTTAAAATAGAACAGGTTAATATTGTGATTTAAATTTAATTTTTTAGGACCTATCTACTTTTTTTTGCATGTTCCTTTTTAGAGAAACTTTTTGAGGTCTAATTAAAAAAATAATTTTTTCGGTATCAAATGAGGTCGAGGGAGGCAATAGAAAATAAAATCGTGGGTAATTATTATAAATGTTATTGGATATAAAAATAAAATAAAAAATTCTATATAATGGTTAATTTTATTTTTTTTATTCTAATAAAGTAACATCTCTTATTGTAGTTATTTTGGTTTTTTATATCTTTGCATGTCAGAAATCACTTGTTCTTGTTTAATACTGCACTTTATTATAAGACCTGGAAAACAATTCAATTACATTTAATAAGCAAACTAAATCACTAAGCACTAACGTTTACATGCTTATCCTGTTCTAACTAGCATGTTTGTTTCAGACGTGGAAGAACAAAAAGTAATCAGGGCAATAGGATGTGGCCTGTCCGCATCCGTGATCCTTCCTGAATGACTTTAATACAAAGTGGATGCCAAAAATATAAGCGAATGAGAGAGATAAAAGTCGCTAAAACTGAACACTTATAGGATACCAAATAATATTGTCAAGATATTTTAATAAACGTGACATTTTAAAATTAAATCTCCTATTTATTGTCTTTGTAAACTGCTTACCAATTTGAAAACTATATGCGTTGTCTACAACTTGGGTTTTCATAATTTTTGCTGTTACTGCTTTCATCTGCTGATAGCACAACAATTTAAGCTGTTTGGAAATACAAATGGGACATTTATCCCTTCTAGCACATATTAGACATTTTAGTTAAAGACCAGAAAACAAGGAACATATAGGGCTTATTTTTTATACATTATCCTAATCTTAGCATTATCTAATAATATATTGCTGTTCTACTAATTGCAATGAAAAAAATTGTTCGTATGTTGCAGCCTGTAGAATATGGATCGCCGTGTAAATATATTTTGATATTGTTGCAAATAAGAAAGGAATTTACAATCAGAGCTAAGGAACACACAATAGAGCGAAACCAATTGCGAGGCGAAGCAATATGAGAAATAAATCAATAACCAAAAGCTAACGAAAAGCATTAGGTTAGAAGAAAGTCAATGGCTCCAAAAAGTTGGTCGACTGCATGCGAGCAGTAAAAGTTGCCGGAGAAATTTTATTATCGACAAAACCAACATATGGAGGACCACAAGCAAAATGCAAAACTATGGAATTGGACTTAAAGGAGGCTGAGTCTTACTAGTTACCTTCTGTGCCCATACATCTGTCAACAGTCTGGTGCTGTTGCTGATTATCGGATTCCAAGGGTTAAGTAAGAGATATGAAGAAGCAATCACGTAGTCGGTTGGACAATCCATTCTGCTTCAGTCAGGAAACAAACATGAGCTTCCCACAGCCGCACACATTGCCGGAAGCCCCAGCTAACGGTGGTAAAATGCTGGTTTATGGCCTGGGACTTCTAATTATGATACCGGGTAAGGGTCCCTCCATGCTAATTAGATGTTTTCCTCATTTCAAATGCCAATTTCCTAGACCCGTTTTAGTTTTCACTTCCGAAAAAACTCACAGAGCCTTTGGCCTTTACTTTTTAACCTCTATATACATTTAGCTTGTACGGCTGGACCCCATGAAAAGCGTCTGCTCCACGCCCTCCTGGACAACTACAACAGCTTAGAACGTCCGGTGGTCAACGAATCCGATCCATTGCAACTGAGCTTCGGACTAACACTCATGCAGATTATAGATGTGGTATGTACAGACTAGGATACGCATTTTCATACTACCGAGGTTTTATGGTAGTTTCCTTACAGCATTCACAGTTTGCATAGATAGAGAAGGATTTTGTTATTCTTATAATTACATGACTACATCAAGATAGAAATAAAATAGATTTAGATCTCTTAAGAGCATTTTCGCTAATCTTTTCGCTTTTTTCTTTTTAGGATGAAAAGAACCAACTGCTAATTACAAATATTTGGCTCAAATTGGTATGTTTACACTTAACTATGTTATATGTGCAGCTGCTATTTGCGATATGTGTCCTATACTTTAATCAAACACGGGCATCCGTTTGGTAAAAATTGAATTTTTAGCAATTGTTCTGTTATGGTTTCCGTAGGAATGGAATGACATGAATCTTCGATGGAATTCCAGTGAATTCGGCGGTGTACGCGATCTTCGAATTCCACCACATCGCTTATGGAAACCGGATGTTCTAATGTACAATAGGTAATCAGTTTGTTAATATAGACGTATAAGTCTTGTTTTTTGATTCCCAAGAAAACTATTCACTGCATAAGTACTTTTTAGTATCTAGCCTTTATTCTTGTCTTTTCTAGTGCGGATGAGGGGTTTGATGGAACGTATGCCACAAATGTAGTGGTGCGCAACAATGGAAGCTGTCTGTACGTACCTCCAGGCATATTCAAATCAACATGTAAGATCGATATTACGTGGTTTCCATTTGATGATCAAAGATGTGAGATGAAGTTTGGTTCGTGGACCTACGATGGTTTTCAGGTAAATAAAAAAATTCTTTATTTCATTTAAAATTATGTTGAGTTTAAAAACACGGTTTTTTTCTAATTAAAAACTTTTAATTGTATTTTCTTTTGCAGTTGGACTTACAATTACAAGACGAAGCAGGAGGAGATATTTCTAGCTTTATAACAAATGGCGAATGGGACTTGTTAGGTGAGTTTAGACAATTTCAAGAAAGTGATACTCTCCTAAATGTCATATGATGTGTTCATCTAAGACCAATGATAGTTAAACATGATTTATTAATTAGAAAATTAATATTTTCTTCTCTACTCCATCCACTAATCTCATATGTCATTTTGAAAAAACCACTTGTTCAAACTATACCAAACTCAAAACCTACCCAACCCAACTAACAGGTGTGCCCGGTAAACGAAATGAAATCTACTATAATTGCTGCCCAGAACCTTATATTGACATAACATTCGCCATTTTGATAAGACGCAAAACATTGTACTATTTTTTCAATCTGATTGTGCCGTGCGTACTGATTGCCTCAATGGCACTGCTAGGGTTTACACTGCCACCAGATTCTGGTGAAAAGCTTTCGCTTGGTAAGTGTCGTCCAGTTATTCTGGCCTGATTTCCCTTCTATGCCCTTCTATCTCTGTGTTCACGAATATAAAACTAAATTAAATTAAAATATACAACTGATTCAAGTTTAGAACGAAATGAAACTTTTTACCTAGTAGTCAAAAGATTATGCAAATTAAAATGCTACCTTCTTTTACCTTCTTGTTTGCTTTTGTTTTTAGACATGCTAATGCATCTCGAGTGTATCTATTGGAATTTAATGTAGATCTTTTGCATGCTCTGCAACTCATTCTAGCCACTTAAAAATGCTGAACAGATTTCTTTTCCAATGTTCCTGTCTTAGATTGTTACTCTATGCTAGCAAAGCAAAACTTCAGGCAGTGGGAAAATGTTTGATTTAACCTGTTTATTTGCTAAACTCGGAAGCCGTATATATATAATATTTGTGATAATATATGTGACAGAAGTAAGGAAATGATTCTGATCGGGTAATATATACATACATATCTATAATATTTGAATCCAGAGTAAATTTAATCGAATTTGATCACTTTTTTAAATTTGTTTAATATTGACTTTATCAGGTCAGATTTCCTCCACTTAAAACAAATATTATATTTATAATCGTGTACTGAGTATCAAAGGGATCTTCAAACCCGAACGCGTACTTAAAGCTTGTAAATCTCATATTCCTAAGGGGGGTTGAGGTTCAGTGCAGAAAATACGGTAGTAGTTTTTTATTGAAGGCAACAAAGAAAGTGATAATGGAAGCGACAGACAATCCTGGCCAAATGCATTGGACCTGCAGGACCGTAAGGAGCGGAATCAGCAGGATCACTGGTTCATACAATAAGATTTTGTTACCGTAATCGTAATAGTGCACGTATTTTATGTGTAAATATCATGGGAGAAAAGCTACAACAAAATGACTAATAAAATTAACTTCAATCTTAATTCCATGCCGCTTCTGTTCGTCCTGCAAATTACTCTACATACTTGTTATCGAATCGACTCTTCCACATGTGTGACTTTCCGAAATAAATCCATTTCAGGAGTCACAATTTTATTATCGCTTACAGTCTTCCTTAACATGGTGGCGGAAACAATGCCGGCGACCTCTGATGCGGTGCCGCTGCTCGGTAAGTAGATCGTGGCCAAAACTCCGGCCCACTACCATCCCAAATCTACGTCTACGACTAAGTTTCTACTAAACTAACGCACTCTCAACTCATTCAGCAATCATCCAAGAATCTTCTTTCCGCACAGCTTTGGCGTCTCAACGTTCTATACAAAAAAAAAATGAAAAAATACACCACTAATTTTATCTATTGCCTTTCTTATCAAGAAATTATATCTTTGTGAATTGGGGCACACATAAAGGGCTAAAATTTAGCTTCCCAAAATAAAAATCATAATCATCGTGTTATCCCTTTAAAAATAAAAAAATAAACCTTACAAAGCACAAGCATAAGTACATACCACTCATACAGGCATGAACATTTTTTTAATATCGAAGTAGCATGTTGTTTTTGGCATGGTTCGTTAATAGGTTTGATAGGTTCCACAAATTGATGATAGATGTTTATGGCCGGTACTCAATTTTTCAGTTAGAAAACAGTTATTTTCAATTAAAGATTGGTATTTAAGGATTACTAGTTTTTGTTTATCAAAGACGTCCACTCTCTAGCAAAAATTAGGTTTATTGTTATCTATTATAAGGACCACCTTCTCTTAATTGATTTAGAATCCTGACTAAAATTATTTTGCACCTTTGCTTAGGTTCATCATTAAATAGAATTTAATATTTAATTTATTATTTTGTTTTCTTATATTTCTTTTTACTTAACCAATTAGGGTTACCACGATTTTGAAATACAGAGACAAAATAGTGCCCTAGTTTTAATCACTCATGCACAATAAACTGCTTTCAATAGCGAAAATGTCTTTGATGGGCTTTTCATTTGAGTACAAGAGATTCGCTATTTTTAATACATATACCCGATGGGTTACACATGTATAAATAATAAAACACAAGTATAGCAGCTACAAGTAAACATAATTCTGGAAAAACAGCTTAACATGCAATATATTTTCTGTTTCCTTCTATTCACAAGCTCGTACGGATTTAAGGAGCTTAGTACTAATCTATTGTTGAACTTTTTTAATTTTCTGCATGACACCTAACAGACACATTTTATATTGTACGTCTTATTCCTGCACATTTTGTCACATATTACTAACTGTTTTTCAATGTATACAGCTATTTACAATGCAAAGTCCGAACAATCAAAGTGAAACAAACAAAAATAAAAAATTTAATATTAACAACTCAAATACACACTTTTACAAATTAAAATATTAATTTTCACAAATTTCAATATTTGTATAACGTTTGTATGCAGCGGAGATAGAACTTTTTAGAGGGGATTTTTCGTTTTATGTCTGCTTTTTGAAGTCAACGGTATTATGTTTTTTTAAACTTTCTAGTACTGAACTTTGTATTTAGTTCCTTTGTATTTGAACAAGAAATTTTCTTAAACAAATGGATTATTCCCTTATGGATTTCATACAGTCTTTTTCAAATCTGACAAATTTATTTTTCTTCGTTTTTTTTAAATCATAGTTTCGGTTTTAGATTTGGTATTAACTAATCATTTTTCAGTTTTGGTTTTCGCCAGTGAGATTTCCCAAGGACCACTACCACATAATGTATGCGAAAAAATGTTCTTGTTGGCATGAAGGAACACAAATGCCCGCCTGACTTTTCCATACGTCAAGCATCGGACTGAGGGAAATTGGTTTCTACAAAACGAAATCAATTTAACCCTTTCTTACCCTTCTAAGCCACGCAAATACACCCCAAATACATAATCACTCACACTTGTATATGTATATTAGAAACACGAAAAAAATGAGTACACAGTTAAAAATTAAGGTTTTTTACTTTTGTTCTATCCATCTGCGCCAGAAAATGAACTATTTACCTCTACTAACTGAAAACTGAAAAAGGAACGGATTTTTACAAAAGAAGCAGAGTTCACAACGATTAAGGTGGCAGAATTTCCACATACATTAACTTTTCTGTAACCTTTTAAAGTATATTTATTTGTCTAACGTTCCGCAACTTTTCCTTAAACAACTTTAAGTTTGCCAAAAAAAAGATCATCTTGTTCCACCTTAGAAAGTATGAATAAACTTGAACGGAATTAAGGTTATAGGCATCAAAATAAATCAGGGAAAGTACATCAACGAGAGAAATTAAATGAAATGAAATACAATGAAACCTTAGTATGAAAAGTCATCAATTCTATTTTTATACCCGTTACTTGAGGAGTAAAAGGGTAACTAGATTCGTCGGAAAGTATGTAACAGGTAGAAGAAAGCGTTTCCGACCCCGTAAGGTATACATATTCTTAATCACAATCACTAGTTCAGTAGATCTAGCCATGTCCGCCTGTCCGTATGAACGCTGAGATCTCGAAAACTATAAGAGCTAGAGTGTTGGGACTTGGCATGCACTATCTTGGGCTTCCAGCGCAGTGCAAGTTTCTTTCACCAGGGTGCCACGACCACTCCAACTCACACGAACGACTATAACACCCGTCTAGCGCCCAAATTTTTAAAGATTTTATAAAAAATCAGTTCGTTCGTATTATCAATACATGTATACATGATCAAAATCGGACCAGTCATTAAAAAGGTATAGCCAAATAATAATCAATATTTTGCATTCAATTGAGATTACACACCACATGCAGCACATAAGCTGTTTTCACTAATACTCCACAAAGCTAACTGGCGCTGTAGGCCAAATGGCGCTAAGAAGAAGATAGGTGGCGCTATAGGCTAGGTGTGTTTTAAGCATATCTCCATACCACGCGCAATCCCTAAAGCTGAGTAACGGGTATCTAATAGTCGAGGCCATCGACTATAGCGTTTTCTCTTGTTTTTATTTACTATGCTTGACATTTTATTTCTTATTATTATTCCAAAATAAAAAGCTTTTAAGTGCCTTTTAGTATCCAATCTACCATTATACCATTATAGTGCACGAATATATACATATGTGTTTTGATTGAAAATAAAACCTATAATCAAGTTTCAATTGATATACCTCTTGTTGCACAACATTGAAGGGGTAAGTCAGCCGATTTATCATATTTTTATCGGCATATGAATACACTACATAGATGTATATTCGTGCACAACATTAGTACCAACATAATGCTCGATAGGTAAATAACATTTTTTTTTTAGGAGTATTGTCCATTTAGAAACTTTGAATTCATTGTTTTTCTTAATATAATTTTAGTTTTACTCTTAAAAAATGTTTAAAGTAACGACGTCCTGGAGTAGTAATACAAGGTCAGTTGGGCACAATTTATTCATTTAGAAATAAAAGGCAGTCCTAAAGCTAATTTTGACAGGTGAATTTTTTATTATTACTAGATGACAATTTCTTTATATATACATAACTTCTTTATTTCGTGGTGTTGGTATCACCATAATGACCATACAGTAGCTGAATCATTCGACCACCCTTTGGTGTTCACGTGCTAAATAAATCTTGTTGTTACCATTACATTTCATTTAAACTCTTGAAGAGTCAACTGAATAGTCGCATATAATATTCAGAGAATTTAATTTTCTCAAACTGCATTACAAAATAAACTGGTATATTTGTTGAGAGATCTGTTTGTTGTTGGCTTGCTGTTTTCCGTTATCTAATAGCTGTTATGTGACTATCTCGACGGTTTACATGGAAAAAGCATGCACATGAGTCTTGATTTAATTCAACATCAGCATATAAGCGTTTAAACGATTTGACGATTTCACCATGTCGTATTTTGTTAAGATGTTGTCTTCCCTTTTCCATGAACATATTCCTTGAGTATACAAAATATTGCTAATACTCCTTCAAAATATTAACTGCGAATTGAAACGAAGTAATTAACTAATAATAACATTTCTATTGTTACTGTTGTGGTTTCGTTTTCAAACAGTTTAAGAGCTTCAAATCCGATACATGCTTCCAAATTCGAAATGGTATTTATATAAATGTTGTCTCTTACGTCTTATTTTGATCAAGTTTAAAATAAACAACTTTTGAGTTTATAAAACCAAAAGTGTACATATTATAAAGGGGGAAATATTTTTATTTAATCCTGAAGAAGAGATAAGGAGGTTGGGTTAAAAAACGGATTAGTGATTCAACCCATTAACAGCGTATGTATTATTACTATTTGTATAACGAGTAGGACGAAGCGTTCCTGACCCTATATGGAACACATATATTTTCAAACGACAACCGAGTTTATCTAAACATGTCCAAAAATTCAACGAGATATCAGGTTTCTTTTTAAACAACAAAATCCTCTCCTTAGGGTGGCAACAGATGTTCTAGAGGCGGATATCCCATAGATCTACATAATAATAGCAAAGAATATTGCAAATTATTTTTCCCACTGACCATTTTTTATCTTTCTTCGAAATTTTTGTGTTGGCTATTTTATTTTGATTTACTACTTTTTATTCTATTCTGTTAAAAAAATCAGTAGTGTTTTAAAACATTAACAGAAATATCTTCTTTTGTATTAGTTTCCAATGTTTGGGCAATTCATACCAACTAATCTTCTCACAGTATTATACACCATAGGCTAGAAGAGTTTCCCTCACACTTGTATATAAAATACACCAAAAATATCATATAACTCTCCCAGACAACTACAAATTGTTAAACCAATATACGTTGCTTTAAAAAAATTAAAGTAATCAATTATGTTATGCTTATCCTATGAACTGGTATTGGAATTCTGCCAACCTTTTCCGTAAAACTACATCAATATCTCAAATATCATTTGCCTTTGGGAACCATACTGATTAGTACGGGCAAATATATATAATTTTTATTTTCTTGAGTACCCCAAAGAGCTGGGGAAACTTCGGTGTCTGGCACCATCGGTGTTTTCAATGTTTCTTGCCATGCCCAAAAATGTAAAACTTGTATAATTTCTTAAGAAAGATATCATAATTTTGGAGGTTGACAACATTTTTGTAACAGATCAATCTTCCGAAAGTGTTTACTTTAAGTCTTTTATTCCACTCAATTACGGGTTTTTTATGATTTTAAAATTGCAATAACTTTATAGTACTTAAGCTTACTAGCAGCTTTCTGATCTCCAAAGACATGTTAGGTCCAACAAAAAACGATGGATAAAAACAAACACTTGTTTGCAAGTCTAGGGAAACATAAAATTGATAGTGCCATCGATGGTTTTCCAGCTCTGCTTGTTTTAAGTTTTCTTATAATTTGAATTCCAAAAGAGTTTCAAATTTTAATAGGATTTTTAATTGCCCAGTATTGAGCCCCAACTATTATAAGTTTCAAAAGATCCCAAGCCAGTCATTTTTATTAACATCAGGATAATTCGACTCAAAATAAAGTTTTGTATTTTACAAAAATGCCAACGATTATTCTTTTGTTGTATTTTAGCAAATTTTTGCATATTTTAGAAAAACAAATTATTTTTTAAGTAAACTTGAGAGAATATTTGCAATTCATACGCTTAGCAAAACGTGTGTGCCCCAAGAAACATATTAGCCAAAATTGTACGCCCATAAGCGTTTAATTCTCATGTTCCTTAAACCACTTACATCAAAATGACTCCTCATTTGAAAAGAAAAATAAGGCCGCTTCAAAATATATAATATGGCAAACTACTCTTTTTGAATAACATATGGCGAGTAAATTGTAGACTTTAAAAAATGAGAAATGTAGAAAAAACCTACAGCATTATTTTCTAGCAAACCATTCACATTTGTTTTTTCATCAATGCGCATAATACAAAAAAATGACATTAAACATTAATATTAATCCAAAACGCTTAAATTAAGCCAATAAAAATGTATTAATATCATTCTAATAAATCTCATAAAAGCCGTCAACCAAATCTAAATTCCCACATTAACTTACATAAAAAAAACAGATTCAGAACAATAAAAACAACGAGTCGTATGAAAAGTGAACACAGACAAGTTAAATATATTCATAAGTATAAAACAAAAACTCAACTATTAAGAAAATTACCAATTAGATCTCGATTTTTAAAATAAAATGATGATTGCGGATAATTGGTTGTACACTTAATGACGAATGAAAATAAAATGGTTGACATCACTCTACCCGAGATTGAAAGCGATAGCCTAGGACTAGATACTACAATATATATGATTAGATACTCAAAAGCTGGATGGACTCGTTGAATCAATCAATTTTGGGAATGTCAGCCACTGATGAGTTTTGGTTATTGGATCTGGAATATGGAATGGATGCCGTGGGGGTCAGGTGGTGAAGTTTTTAGTTAATTTCTTCTTGAGCAATCTTCTTTAATATTCCGCCCACACACCGAAGTTTTAATTCAAAGGAAAAGAAAAGCCCACCCTGCGAAGGTTTTGCTATCCCGAGAGTATCGTTTACGATTTCGCCTCCTTGACTTTCCTTTACCATGTTACAGAAGTGACTTTTCCTTTCTTTTCCCCTTGTCTGCATGTTATCGATGTGTAAAAAACTGAGCTTTAAAGGGGCCGCTAAAAATATACCGCGGCAGACCTTAATAAACTGTTTTTGTATTCACGTCCTTTCACATTTTACTTTTCCCGCGACACTCAGAGAATTTCAGAGTGGTTATACACACACACACACACACATATAAGCAGCAGGTGGGTAGGACTTTATTAATATTTGAGTGTTTTTTTTTCTTCTGTAACAAAAATGTGCCTTTTGCTTTTTTGTTTAAAGCATATATTTAGCCCTGATTCAGTTTCTAGTTACTAATTAAATTAGTGGAAAGTGAATCACCACCTTTTCCTGTTTCGAAAAAAAAGTAGTACATGGCATTAAAAAATATTTGGCAAAGAAAATTACTCGTGAAAGAAGCTAATTACATATATCCTCAAGTTCAGAAATATATATCTTTAAAACTACAATTCAAACATTATATAAATACTATGGTAGCAGTTTAGCTCATATTTGAGTTAGTTTTTACAAACCCAATAAAGGTGGAGGTGTTATTAACTGATTTAAAAAGGATTTGAATTAATTTTTTTTCAAATCAGGGGTGGAGACGCACAAGCTTTGTACTATAACTTTTTTGTGATCAGAAATGGGGAAAGGTGGAAAAACAAAAAACGATCAAAAAGCACTTCAGCGAACACTTATTTAAACACACCTACACTTATAAATGTTTATGCGTGATCGATTAGGAACTAGGTTAAGAAAACAAAAAATGTAAACAAATCGAATACTTTTTACAAGTTTGTGTAATTTTTGTGTCCTTCTAGGAACTTATTTCAATTGCATTATGTTTATGGTGGCCTCATCAGTTGTGTCAACCATACTTATCCTCAATTATCATCATAGAAATCCAGATACGCATGAAATGAGTGAATGGGTAATATTTTTATATTCAAATTAACTTTACTACTTTCATACATTGTAAAAAAAAAAAAACAGACAATATGTATAATTTTCTTTCTACACATTTATATCACAACATACTGATATTGTTTCAAATTTTTGCATTATTCCACTGCTAAACATTTGTATATTTATTGTTTGTTACAAATGTGTTTTGGCTTACCAAAATAAACGAATCATTTTAAACCAATTTAATTGTAAATATCTAGGATACCAATAATAAAAACATAAATTTGCATTAACCCACATTTTTCGCTCACTTAAGACACCCGAAACTCAATCACACCAATTCACCCAATGACTTGCAAGATATACTCAAGCAAAGCATGAGAGACCAAAATTAAATTCCCTGTATACATATGTTTTCTACAAAATCCCACTAAACTTCCTTAATAGTAAGAAAAGGATCCTTCCCAGCAATGTGTCCATACACACATATACTTTGATAAACACAAACCCATATACTTAAGAGTTTTAAACATATTGATCGCTATATGGGCATTTCAATCCGACCAACTTCGATTTTCGCTCTTACGACAATTTAATTCAATTATTTAAAATTCTTTAAAAAAAATGTATAATTAATTGTGAATCAAAAGCGATTAATACACTTTAAAATCGTCAATTTAGCAACAAATACTAATTTAAATACTACGTTTTTACACCTGGGTAACTTTTAAATAAAAATGTATCAATAGTGGACCATTGCTCAATAACCAGACTTAAAATCTATCAATTTTTTTTAAATTAAAAAAGCTCAAAAGTCGAGTTTTTTATTAAGTTAGTAAAACTCGACTTTTAATTAATTCAAATTTTAAAAATCAGCAGGTCCTATAAGCGGAGTCTATTTACATAACATTAAACATTTGTTTATCGAATTAATATAATAATATATTTACAATTTTTTGTTGTTAATAAACTTCACAAAATAACTATTTTTAAATAACCTTTAATCATTTTGTTTATCCAAATTTAACTATTTTTCAATTTTGTCAGTGGTTCTACAATCACTTAAATTTTCAAAAAAAAAAAAGGTTACTCTATTTTTGTTGACTTTCAATTTAAAGCTAACCAAAACTTCATACAAGGTCTAAGGGCCGAATTCAAAAATAATTAATAAGGGGAAGTTGACTTTAAAATAAAGTACAGGTATGTTCGTATTTAACTAGTAATAACAAATTTCGGTTTCCACATAGGTATAGATTTTGCTTTCCAAATTTAAAATCAGTTTATTAATCGATAATCTTAAAAACTTAATTTCAAGCGAGAAAGAAATATATATTAGCACATACTCCTTATGGGGAACATTTTATCTCAATCTTTAAAATCTGCATACATTAAATAATACCAACATTAAAAAATTCCACCAATACATTTTATTCGACTTTTGTTTATCAAAATCGATGTGTTCTTCTCATTCTCTGTCTATCACCATCTCTTGTTTTCAAAGTTTATAAACTAACATACAATTATTATGTTAATATTTAATTTCTTCTTAATGCGCCACTTTGTCAAACCACTCATTTTAAATAAATATTTTTATATTATTCATGTACCTTTCAAGCATTTGTATACTTTACTTTACAGGATTACTTTGTCAGAACTTGGCTGATCGAGGCCTTCCTGATAATAAATTCTTCAGAAAGAACTGCCTTAAATTCACTCGTCTGTTGATTGTGATCAAGAATATATACTTATATATACATCTTCTTAGAGAACTTTTGACAAAAATTCTTTTTTTTTTTAAATAACAATGATTTATAAAAATAAGTATTTCCGGAGATGGGTATGTTGCACTTTTTTGTAAGTCGATCAAAAATAGATTTGAATTAATAACAAAAAAATTGTAAGTAATCAATATATTCAGAACATCTATAAGCATGAAAATCGATTGGTTTAAAACTCTTAAGCATTTATACCTCGTTAAGAAAATCTTGCTCATCCAACCAACCTACAAAATAAATTCTTCAATTAACTTCCTCAAGGGCTTTTAGAAAAAGTTCCATAAATTTCACTAAAGAAAGTCATTGAAATGTAGATCATGAAATATTAGTGAGGGAAGTTCTCGAAAATCGCAAATCAATTCCAAACTGTTTACCTAGCAATTTTTTTCCATTATTAGTTACTATGAATATTGATATTGATTCTACCATCAAAAATACTAAATATGATGTTTTGCAAACGTTTAGATCCATTTCATTCATACTCCTTGATTTCCTTGTTTTTTTTTTATTTCATTCATACATATACACATTCTAACTTACATACTTAAGAAATCGTCTACCAACAACAGCATCAATAATCACACAAAAATGTTTATTTTTCAACAAAAACTCTGGCCAACAACTACAACTACGCAAACCGGCAACTCAACTACTTTCAACGCAAATAACTCAACTCAATTGCCTCTTCAATTGTTTCTCTCTATATATATATATATATATCTTCCTCTTTCTACATGTGTATCTCTCTATCTCTCTCTGTTACTTTAACTATTTAACAAACCAAAAAAAAAACATTAAAAAATTCAAATATCAACATGGCGACCACAACAACAACGACGACAATTGCACGTGTCGAACTAACCTATACAACAAAAAACCAATCGTACATACTCATAATCGAAAAAAATCACAAATACCAAACAACGATCTATGTATTAAACGAACTATCGATTAATACGTATACGAGGAACTGATAAATAATCTTCAAACTAAAAAAAACTTTCATTCTGTTCATCCATCGTTATCATGCTAACTCAACAAAATTTTCTAATAAAATTTTGTCACTAACGTGTCACTACAAAACACAAAAAAAAATAAAAACAAAACCCACCTGAGATAACGACGATAAAAAAATTAACACTTATCATGAACTAAAAAAAAAACATAAACCTAAACGGCCTTCATAATAAAAAAAATACTAAAAATTCGTATTGCTATTATTTTTAAACGCATTACCCAACTACACTCCGTCTCTCTGTCGAACTCGCACACACAGATAAGAGTAATATTCCTTTATTGGTTACCTTGCATATTGCGCATGCAAAGACCCGGACAGGTTGGCTACGAATGTCCGCCGCCGCCCTCATCATCGAGTTCATCTAATTCTGGCGAGAAAAAGCAACAGATACAAAATGTTGAGCTCAAGGAGAGGTAAACAAGGGCAGTCTCGCGGGGGCTTTAAAGGAAATCATCAGGGTTCTTTGAAATTTTTTGAAATGGTGTCCAAAAGCATGCTACGATATTGTACAAATACTACATTTTTCCCTGCATACTTTTAGACACCTTTAGAAGTGATTTCAAACATCGCATTGATTTCTGTAGCACCCCTGTATGCATCTAGATTTTTAGAAGCCCTCACGCCTTCTTGGAGTTACTAAAATCCCTTTTAAACAAATGTTCTAATCCAACTCCGAACAGATCCTCCAAGTCTCTGCTGGCCAACGTCCTCGATATAGACGATGATTTCCGATGCAATCATCGGTGTGCCAGTGCGACTTTGCCTCACCAGCCAACTTATTACAGAACGATGTACAGGTGGGTACAATACCACAATCTAAGCATTCGGAATAAGGTATAATGGGTACATAGAGACACAAATTAAATAGTATAGTATGTGAGGCATACCGTAATTAGGTAACAAGTAGCACTTTCTACTTATTATGGAGTAAGAACAGTTTATGGCCTATGATAGTGTCTTAAAAGTAGTTTATCCATAGGCAAGGGGACGACGGCAGCGTGGGACCAGTGGGTCCGGCTGGCCCCGTGGTCGATGGGCGATTGCACGAAGCCATTTCGCACACCTGTCTGACTTCATCTGCGGAATACGAACTGGCGCTGATCCTTAAGGAACTGCGTTGGATAACGGAGCAGGTGAATTACATACACATTTATAGGATATAATGCACACGAATTTATTCGGTTAGTTAGAGGGTATTTTAAGGGTTCTTTGAAAAGATTTTCAAATATGTCTAAAAGTATGCAGTAAAAAACTGAATGTCTTCTCTTGTAATACATTTTACTTGTTGCATACTTTCAGACATCTTTATAAGTGATTTTAAAACTCCAGTGTGGCATCTTCGTAGAAAAAGAGGAGAAACCTTTATAAAATCAACACTTTCATTGCTTTTTCCATTTTCCCAGCTAAAAAAAGAAGACGAGACAAGCGACATAACACGAGATTGGAAGTTTGCAGCCATGGTCGTCGATCGTTTGTGCCTTATTATTTTCACTTTGTTTACTATTATCGCAACTCTTGCTGTACTGTTTTCAGCACCACATTTCATTGTAAGTCCTGGTTCTGAGAGTTTTTCCAATTTTCCGACAAGCGCAGTAACAATCTGACTTTCATTGCAGTTCCCGTAAGCGGAAATGCGGCGAAGGGGAAATAAATGGAGCAAATAGTGACAGGCCACAGGAGTTTGTGGTTTATTGTGAAGTATATGAAACATGAAGCCAATCAAAAATATTAGGAACAAAGAACAAAATGAATTCAACAACCCGAACCTAAGCTTTTCAAACTGAAATACTTTGACAGTCAAAGAGTTTTGCTATTTAACATTTTTATATATTTTAAAGATGTGTCTGATGGTTATAAAATATTATAATGAATTGAGATAGTAACGTATGTACGTATGTGAATGCATTTTGTATAAAAATAAGAAAAGAAAGCAAAAAAAAAACCAAACCAAATAAAAAAAGTCGGGATAATACAATAACTTTCTGGGCATAAATGTACGTTGCCGTGTACATTTTCATTTGCCCATTAGATACAAAGCAGAGGTTTCTAAATCCAAATCGCGAAGCGCTCGTAGATGCAATCCACCTCCCTCTATATTCAATCGAGGAGCGCCAAAACATTTAACCGACTTGAGAATGACATTTAAGGATATACATATGTATACAGCTTCACACTATTGTTAAAAAAGGGAAAAAGAGCAAACAATTAGTATTTAAATGGTCTGTATGCAACATTCAAAAAGATTTTGCTGTTCTTTTTCATTTATTTGATTTATTATTTGACCTTTCGTTCTCTCTTCCCATGCTATTCAATTTTGAATAAAAAGAAGAACTTTATACAAATGTGTTGCTATGATATAAAACAAAGCCACAACAAATGCAAATTGAACGAATATAAAAGTGAATAGTGAAATTGTTCCGGAGTAAGAAACTACACTTCAATACAAGAATGTCATTTAACTGAAATGATCGCACAATAAATTCATATATACAAACGAGCCGTCAAAATTGAACACACAGTTACACAACAGAGGTCACAGTTGTGATAAAACAAAATACTATTGAAAAGATAATACTTGCTAAATTTAACGAATTGCACTCTGCAAATAAGCAAAAACGAAACATGACATTTCGTATACAGATAAACACTGAATGCATTTTAAGAAGATATGCGCAGTACACAGAAAATGGGAAAATATTTGCTAGCCATTAGAAAAGACAAAAAAAAACTATATAAATAATAGATGCCAATAACTATATCACACCCATTTTCGTCAAGTCTTTCCTGCTGATTCCTCAGCGGTTAAACGGTGCTTCAATATTAACGGGTGCTTCAATAATAGGCGCCAAAATAATTTTATCCGAGTATAGTGAATTGGCAAAATCAAGAAATCAAAAGGGTTTGTAGAAAGTTAGAGCATGAGTAAAGCTATATAAATGGTAGTGTAGCCAATTAGGAGTCCAATCAACTTCAGCCAATTCTAGAATCTTGAAATTCGCCTTCGTAAAATGGAAAAATTTATCGGCGACTATAGCATTTGTAGGCTCTGCAGATATTTGTATCGCTTATATGCCTGTTTCAGCCAGAGTTTTCCTCCAGTGATAAATTGCGGATTGATTTTCTAAATTAATTTTCACACTTTAAAAGGGTCTAAAAAAGTGGGACTACTTTTTCGCTAGCAAACATGTTTTTCTATCTGAGTACTGGACTTTAAGGCGAACGAGCATAACTTATCTTTAAAAAAGCTAACATAATTTGAAAAAAACATAAGCTAAAATTGTATGATAATGTTAAACACAAGTATAAAGTTAACTATTTTTAAATGGAAAAAAAAAGAGTGTCAAAAGCAACGAAAGCCGAATATAAAGAGCGTTAAACATAGATATTTCAAAAGAGTATAGTTTTCAGAGAGAAAGGATCGCAAATATTCATGAATACGAAAGAAAAATATATCACTACAGTCAAGCTTCAATAACTCAACCTTTCCTAGCTCGAAGTCTCTATAAGTCGAACTAGTTTTATTGGCAACGTAAATTTTAGATACACACGTCAAATCAAGTCTACACATTAACCACCCCCAGTCTCCATAACTTCAATTTTTTTTGTGGCGGTTGGTGGTCTGTGTTATCGAAGTTCGACTGTATCTTTCAATTCCCAAAAAAAAAGTGCAAGCTAGAATACAAGTTAGATTTAACACATTTTTAAACTAAAATTAAAACAGCAAAAAGTTAACAGAAAATTCATGAGAACCGTAAAAATCTAGATTAAAAAAGTATGTAAGATCGAAACTGGAAACAATAAAATGTTTACATTTTAGCTAGTGCACATTGGACCGATTTTATAAATTTGATTTAAAACCAGGAACAAAGGTATACATTTTAAATTTTAGGTAAATAGCATACTCTTAAAAAAGATAAGTTTATAATTTTATAATAGCAAGTGGAATCCTTCTAATTAACAAATTTCCACTGAGAAATAGTTGTGAGTGTTTTTTAAGTTTTACCCGGTTTTGTTTATATGTACATATTTTATTGCATATCTTGGCCGACCAGAGTGATTATGATTAAAAGTAATTTGATCCAGCATGGTTTTTTGTTTTTTATTGTACGAATGATAATATTATCCCATGCGATTTGAATGACCGACCGTTATTTTCGTGGTTGCCACACGGTCTTTCTGGTGCGTGCCTTGGGTGCAAGCTGACAGCGACGTTGCCAGACTCATCGGCGGTTCGAGTTGTTGCTGGCAAACGTTCTGGTAAGTGTTGCCAGATCTGGTTTTGTTTAAAAATAAGCTGGGCGGCAGATGTAACGGTTATTTAAATTAATTACTTTTAGTTAATTAATATAAGCCAAGGCCGACAAATTTCCAGCCTGTCGAATTTCAAATTTTTAGTTTATTGAATTGTTATATGTTCTGTAATCTGAAGGTAGGAACATATTCTAATACGTTAAATATTATTGAAGTTACTTTGGTTAAAATTTAAACATTCTTGATTGAATGGATCAGTTGCTAGTGCAATTTCAAATGTTTTTTAGTGAAGAGCTGTCTTATATTGTGTTATGCTGATCGCTGATAATTGGATATCAATGGCTACCAAAAGCTGTGGAGTGGGGTACTCCAGCTCAGACTGTAACCCTGCCCTTCAGTTATTCTGCGTGACAATGTGGCGATATTAGCTTGTGATCGTTTCCCTGCCCCTCCTTCACGAATTAATGCATTGGACCCTCAGCATAGGCATCGGTATTATTCTTTCTGGACATGATCTCGAATGCAGGGAACCGGTTAATGCCAGCCGGGCCTGCCTGAACTCGGTCAATAAACTAACCGCAAATATGTTGATTCAAAAACTTAAAGACAGCACCAACAGCCCGGCCCCATCGGTATTTGGACGTCACAAACATGTTGCTGAAGTTTCGGATTGTGGATACAGCTATGGTCAAAGAAATATCACCGTTTTGAAAATCTCTTCCAAATTGAATAAAATGTTTCTTTAAATAAAAATATTAACGTTGCAGAAGATATATATATTCAATTTTCCTCAATTAAAATTAAATTAAATTATTCATCCGGTATGCTATTCATCCGTTAATTGCTGTATATGTATAATTGGCTGGCGAAACTGGAGTGCATCGGTTGCTTTTGGAATACTGTGTTGATTGCTGTGTGAAAATATTATAACTGAAAAGGATATCTTAAAGCAGGGAATGCCTTACATTTATGAACTTTGAACTTTTTTTATGAATAAATCAAGAAGTTATAGGTGTTTTATTCACAAATAACTTGAATAAATATTCTTTAATTTTTTTCGTTTTAGAAATAGTTACAAGGTTAACATGCCATTCGAAACTGTCCGATTATAGTTTAAAGTGCACTTGAAGGAACAATTTTTTGACAGGCGTGAAGTATTCGAATAAATATTTAAATAAATTGGCTTGTAAAGGCACATAATTGTATAATTCGCCCATTCGCGAAATATAAATACATCCATTTTTTAAGGAATCATTTATGTCATATATTTTTGTCACTACTTAAATAAAATTTTTATAGTGTGCAAAATATTCAGTCATCGCTAGTGACGTAGAATTTTATGATAATCGAACAATTTTATAGCGGGCAAAAAGTGAGTGTCATGGTCAATGACGTAGAATTTTGATAACCGCTATTAAATTGTAAGATCTACTTATATATTTTGTACTAATTGCACTGCCAAGGTTACGCTACAAAAAAGACTAGATATTGTCTGATTTTTTTAAGGGAAACCTTTCTTATGGGGATCTCTATATAGCCAAAAATGTGCCAGTAATTTTATATTTCAATTAATGAGCAAAGCATTAAGCTTTGTGTGAGTCAATCGTCGTGTAGTCAAAACAATTTAACAATAACCATTCCCAAGAACAAAAACTTTTTGACTCTCGGTCCTAAGTAATGTGTCACTTTTTTTATTATGTTACGTTAGGCCAAAGTTTTTCCCTACAACTTACCGCTGTAAATATTTAAAGTCTGAGAAACTCAGATTGCGACATTTTTTATATGGAGCGCAATTAATATTATCGCTTTGCCATTTTTGGGGAGAGTGTGTTAGTTGAAGTAGTCTAATCTGATTGCCAATATTTACCCAACAAATTTGAAAGGGTAGAACTGCAAATTTAGCAACAACATGCTGCGAATGTGTTTATCAGTTGGTAGTTTTTGGCAATCGTACTCGCGAACCTTCTACAATTTTTGGCATTACGTTAAATAAAAAATGTATATAATAATTTTGAAATGAAAGCATTGTTTTGCATAAATATAAACTTGATTTCAGATCTTATTTTTTTTAATTTTAGGATGACAATAGCTGCTCCTTTTTCGATTTCTTAAAAAATACAAATTTCAAAGCGGCATGAAATTAATTTCACTTTTTCGTAATCTATGTATGCTAACTCTACAACTGATTTTTTTTTTGTTGATAGGTGGTCTTTGTTATCAAATGCCGGGGAAATTATACGAACTTAAGTTAAACAAGTTGTGTGTTTTCGATGTCGTTTAAAAAAAAACGCTATGCGACTAGTGAATTACCTACAGAACTAATTGTAATTAGTTGGGAAATCATAAAATCGTTAAAACTTTCACCCAATCAGGTAGAATAACATTATGGGTTATACCCGAGATACAAACAAAAATACACACATATTTACAAATATACCCCCTCTTCTAGGGTAATAAAAACATCAAGGGAAATTAAAACAAATAACGACAAACACGCAAACGGCAATGAAGATACTGTGCTGAATATGAGGACCGGACCGGCCCATCGAAACGAGTATTTTTTGTATTTATTAAAAAATCAAGAACCAGCAAAACCAAACCAACAATAACAGCAACAAAAAAGTCATCCAGTCATTGGCTTACAGCGAATTTGCCTTTTCCTATGCCGGCGATGCGATGTCTCATCATCATGGTGCTGAATAAAATGATATTGTACTCAATACCCGATTTCCATGCGCACGTACTACCTGCGGACATATGTATATTTTGTTCATATATGTGGGTATAGCTTTTGCATTATAATTTAGCCATAATTGCACAGAATTGCTTTCGATTTGTTTGCCTATTTATCTCCGGCGGGAGCATTGTAATTGCTTTGGCCAACAGAGGCGGCCGGAAAGCTTCTAATGCGAAATGCGAGTGAAGTGCTGCCTGCCAAACCGCAACCACCTGTTGTAAAAAAAAAATTGGAAGAGCAAACTGTCGCTCCCACAATGTCATGGGGCCAATACACCGAGAAAAAGAGGGGAAACATTTATGGAACAAAGTACCATTTAAATTTGTATTTGGTAGAGAGCTTATCTTTTAAAATCAGTTATAACTCTGTATATTGCATTTGTACCTTAATTGCTATACATAGTATTTAAGTTTATTATTTTGTCTGAATTTTAGCTTATTGTAAACTATGTACATAAATACCGTTACAACCGATGCATTCTTAACAAACACTTAATTAAGAAAAATTCTGATAATTATTCCATAACTAAAAAATTACAAACAAACTGTTATTGTTGTCTTAGCTTGTCAATGTAGTTTGATATTTTTGCCACCTTTTAAAAGAAAACATTTTTTACAGAGTTTCATATTTTTTCCAGGAGCATGTCTATGTGATTTTGATACGATACAGGGGCAGAGGTAGTAGGTTGTCAGATCAAACGACTTACTAACCGTTCCCAAGGAGTTTTCATGTGGGGAGAACTAGGGGGAGTTCGGTGCGAGAGAGCAGGCCAGAGAGAGTGGGCTGCACAGTGGAACGATATTAGCAAACTGAAATTGAATTGCGAGTCTATTTGATTAATTTGAGGGCCATCTGTTAATTTATTGAAGATACAAAAAGGATGGACAAATGATGGATGGCTCATTACCAATTGATTTATGGTCAAAAGCTTGGATTTTCTTTTAGCTGATAGGGAAGCGTACAGGTAAGATTGTTTTCATAATCACTTTATTGCAGTCGTAAAAGCAAAAGGACATGAGGAATCTTCAAGCATTTTCCAGGGAAAGAAAATGGTGTAATTATTTTAATTTTACGAGGGTTTTAACGATCGTTAACTGTGGTTAGCCATAGAAATCCCTTTTGGTTTCGGTACCGAATTTGTCCCGGAAAGTCAGGATCTAATAAACCCGCACACCAACCCAATTTGGTTACACAGTTAAAAATTTGTAATCAGTTTAAGTTATGTGATCAAAAATTAAGTTTTTGAAGTAACAAATTTTAAAACGAATTTGATGAAATTCTACGTTTTGGGAGTTAACTTAATATATTTTATATTAAGTGATTTTTATAAGAAAAATTGTGTAATTTTAGTTTTTCCTCTGTGTATCGGTAGCTGTCTCCCAACCAATTAGAGGCTGCTGCCTACCTGGCCTGCGACCTTTGAACTTGCTGTGTGGTTGGCAAATGGCAACAGTTGGTCCGGTCCACAGAGCGGCTCAATAAAAGATCACCCAATGCCGATTTATCTACACATAAAAACATTTAAGTGACTAGTATCTATTTAATATCCCTACTTCAAATAAATACTTACATGTCTAGTGTTCGTTTGATGGGTGAATGAAATCACACTATGTGCTCATATACACCGATCTCTTGCCGAACTTTAAGAAATCGAAAAAATTAAGTTTCGTTTTCCGCGTTTCGATTATAATAATGATAGATATTATTAGTTATTATTA